GTTTGTCACCGTGTCCCCTTGTTAAGTGGCCAGATGGCTCTCTCTGTGACCCTCTCTCTCTGAGGTCTTACACATCCCGATGTCACCTAGGCATCAAATGGGCTTCTCCTCAAGATGGGCTGTGGTTTTGGGGGTGTCTTTCTCACTTCTGTCACCGAGCTTCTGACCCCTTCTCACCCACCTGCTGATGCCTAGTCCTGCCTCTAAGAAAAGGAACAGAAGGGAACTCAGGGACCACAGCTGCCATCAGCTCAGAGGAACTATATTTCAGGAGAATGGAAAGCCCCCTACATGTTCATGTCCCACACTGTAAAGGAGGAAGCTGGACTTCCCGGCCAGCATCAGGAGACAAAGGCAGGGAAGGCTCACACCACTCAAACCATTGCTCCCTCCCAGCCATGTTTTTTTTTTTAAGATTTTATTTATTTGAGACAGAGAGAATGAGAGAGAGAGCACATGAGAGGGGGGAGGGTCAGAGGCAGAAGCAGGCTCCCCGCCGAGCAGGGAGCCTGATGCGGGACTCGATCCCGGGACTCCAGGATCATGACCTGAGCCGAAGGCAGTCGCTTAACCAACTGAGCCACCCAGGTGCCCTCCCAGCCATGTTTTAAGTCAAGAAAATATGTCACCCTCCCTATGTCCACAGGACAGGGCAGATGCCTCCAGGATTGGGAAGAAGGCTTATAGATTCTGGGATTCTGGAGAGCAGAGTCTAAGGTCCAGGTAGGGTTGCTGAGATCCAGGAGGGGCAGGGCTGTGCTCCCTCCAGAGGCTCCAGGGGAGGCTCCTTCCTGCCTCTTCCAGCTTCTGGGGACTCCCGGTATCCCTGGGCCTGTGGCACGTCCCTCCCATCTCTGTCTCCATTCTCACATGGCTCCTCCTCTGTGTCTGTGTCTCTCCTCTTATGTGCCTTATAAGGACACCTGTCGTTGGATTTAGGGCCACCTTAATCCAAAATGACATCATCTTTAACTAATTACAACTGCAAAAACCCTATTTCCAAATAAGGTCCCACTCCAAGGTTCCAGCTGGTTACAAATCTGGGGGAGACACCATTCAACCCTATGCAATATAAAGCAATGATTTTGAAGTCATTGGAGTTCATGCGACAGAGGACAGTGACCCCAAGAAATGGGAAGCAGGCAGGCAAGCCCTGTGACTGCCGTAGCTGAAGGCTTGGGGGAGTTTCCAGGCATGGCTTAAGGAGGGGACCCCAGGTAGAGACCAGGCAGAGCCCCTGAAGTGAGAACATGGGAGAGAGAACTGATGGCCTAGGAATACAAGGGATTAAGAGACTGTGGGTCAAGGGAGTAGGGAGGGGAGAGCTAAACAAGAAAGAGAACCCAGATATCCGAGGAGGGGTCCCCGCACTTTTCAGCAGAAATGACAGGGGGTCGGGAGGGCAGAGGGTCTGAGGGCAAGAGGGGGAAGCAAAGGTTTGAGGGACAGGAGGGGCATGAGCAGCAAAGTGTGTGGATCTGCTGGACATGCCCGTCGTCTGGAAAGTGAGTTGTCTTCACAGGCAAGCGTACACATCCCGAGTTGTCCTCCAAGTGTTCACTTTTAATGTGTGCGGTTTATTAGTGCGACTGCACATCATAAAATTTGCCACACAGTGAAACAGAGTTTCGACATATGAATTGAATGGACCCTCACCATGCATTGCAGGAAGGAGGAACATCCTCCCATTTACCAGTGAAGAGACTAAGGGTGCGGGGGTCCCTCATTGGTGAAGATCTCCACTGTGGGGCTGAGGCTTAACCAGGTGGCCTGAAGCTACATGTATAACACCCTCCCACTGTCCTAATCTCTATTCCCTTCCCTCCCAGGTGACTTCTCACCACCATCACCATCACCATCTTCATCACCATCACCACCATCTCCATCCCCACCCCTGTCATCACTGATAGATGGATTGTTTAGCAAGTCTCCTTGAAGAACTATCTTATTTTTCTTTTCAGGGGAAGGGGGCCTGAGTCTTCCCCCTAAATTTCTTCTCCCGCATACTTCATCCTGCAGATGGAAGAGGAGGCTATGAAGAGCAGTAGAGAGTCCAGAAATGAGTCATTGATTGGCACAGTGCAGAGACAAAGACAGCCTCCAAGTCTCCACCTGCACATCCAGGCACGAACGAGCTCCTCAGAGTGACAGGCGCTGACTTTCCAACAACACCAGCCATGGTGACCTGCCACCGGGCCCTGGGGGACATCCAACCCAGTACATCCATCTGACCGGAGCGATAATGTGGAGGAGGGTTGCAGCTTTGGGAACACTTTAACCTTTTTCTCTTTAGGAGTTCCTAGAAGACCATGGTGTGTCAATCTACTTCCACATTAAATTCTCAGAAAGTGACCCACAACAAGGGCTAAACTTAACCTTTAGCAAAAGTTAAAACCTATTGTGTCAGTTAAAAATCCTAGTCCCAAATAGAGAGAGAAGAGAGAAGACATAGTGCATTTTGTTATACTTGCAGAGAGTCCAGTTGCCAGCAGCCTAGTATTCGTGTGGCCGCTGTGGTTGACCCTGGCCCCCAGTCCCCCTGCTTGGTCTCTGTGCTCTCCCCAGGCAGTCCTACAGGACCCTTGTAAGCCACCGCAAGCCATACAAGGTCCCTTCACCCTCCTTCCCCTTCTCCACATCCCGGTCAGAACTCCGAGCAGTTACAAAAAGGCCAACGCAAAAGCACTTGAAGAAAAGATGGAACAAAGTGGTCCCAAAAAACATCACGCTGTCACTCCTTCAGACCAATCAATAGTTGTTAAGGTTTTTCTTTTTTTTTTTAAGATTTTATTTATTTATTTGTCAGAGACACAGCGAGAGAGGGAACACAAGCAGGGGGAGTGGGAGAGGGAGAAGCAGGCTTCCCGCCGAGCAGGGAGCCCAACGTGGAGCTCAATCCCAGGACCCTGGGATCATGACCTGAGCCGAAGGCAGACGCTTAATGACTGAGCCACCCAGGCACCCCAGTTGTTAAGGTTTTTCTGTGTATGTCATGCTCAGCCAGACATGGTGGCCTTTGTGACAGTGAAGAGGTATCATGTCAGTGTCCTTGAGACCCTCCTCGGGTTCAGTGATTCGGTAGAAGGACTCAACAGAACTCTGCAAAGCTCTTACTCTCATGGCTCTGGTTTAATACAACAAAAGGATACAGATGAAAATCAGGAAGACCTAAAGGTGCATGGGGCAGAGTCCCAGAGAGATGAGGCGTGAGCTTCCAGGTGTCCTCTCCCCATGGACTTGTGGATGCTGCTTACGTCTTCCAACAACCATGTGTGACAACATGCATGAGATATTACCAACCAGGAACGTTCACCAAGCCTTGATGTCCAGGCATTTTCTTGGGGTTAGTCACACAGCATGGAGTGCCCACATGGCTGACCTGAGTTATTCCATCACTGGCCCCTCCAGAGGGCTGGCTATGGCATGACCCAAAGCCCCATCCTAAATCACATCGTAGCATAAACCACGTGCCATGGCTCCAGGCAAACAAAGACACTCTTATCAGGCAGGACATTTCATGGGCTCATAGGTGACCTTCTAGGAGCCGGTCAAGGGCTAGACCTTAGTGTGGAAGGGGCAGGTGTGGACAGTCCAGACCTGCTGAGTTAACTCTTAACCATGGAGGTGTGTTGTGAGATTTTTCAGACTTCAGAGACTCAAATGATGTAAGAATCCGGAACATCCCTCCCACCAGGAAAGACACTCAGTGGAACATCCCCCACTGAGTTCTTCAAAGCTCTCCCTTGATTCTGATGCCTGCATCCAGCTCCCTGCCAGATGCCTCCACATCCTGTCTCCCCCGAGAAGCCCGTTGAACATGGCAAGACTGAACATGGCATCTCCTCCCCCGGCTCCATGCCCTTGGCCAGCTCCTCTTATTTCTTCAACTCAGACGAGGCACCACTGTTACTGCACCTTCTCAGTCCTCAAGCTGTGGTGAGAGTGGGTGCCTGCAGTTCCCTCGCCTGGTTCTGTCCTGGCCATTGTGCCTGAACCATGCTGCTCACAGTGGTCTCCCGTTTGGTATTTCTTCTGCTCCTCGGTTTCCAAGACCACTAACGAGGGCGGATTCTCTGGCGGTCACATTAACAGTGTCATCGAGAGAGATGCACCTGACCAGAGCTGGCCCATCCCACCCCATGACTGCTGACAAGTGACCTTCCCATCCAGCCCCCATCCATACATCTCTACCCATGACAGGATGTCCCCCACTCCCTGTGATGCTCAGTTGACCATGAGCACCGTTATCCCAGTGGGAGTTCGTGTGTCCTCCATGGTCCAGATGAAATGCTGCCCACTCTCCAGCCCACTGTTGTGCATGTCCTCATCCCAAGGCCCCACACTGGGGACATCCAGCACTATGTTTGTGTCACCAGCCCCCATGGCCCTTCTACTTAGCCTTGTCCTGCCATGAGCTGCAAACCTGCTTCCTACCCACTCCGCTGGGTTCTAACCAATAAAGGTGCTCGATACAGTTCTGATGAGTTCAATGGCACGAAAGTAGCCCCATGCCCAAAGCCAGCAAGTTTATAACATCCTGGGCAGACTCAGTGAGCCGTCTGGTTAAACCTTGGGAAGATGAGCTTCTCCATATCGATGCTGAAGAGGAGGAGCTCCTTCAGGAATGGGGAGCCATGGAGGTGTATCCCGCCCAGCTGCCTTTCATTGACTGACATGGCTATTGAATTTCCTGAGCATCTTGTCTGGGTTCTTCATCGGCACCAGTGGCCCATATCTGAACACATCTCCTCTGTGCTTGGCTTTTCTCAGAATCTCCCAGCCAGCCCGAGGGCTGTGTGTGGGGGTGTGTACTTGGGTGTGGGTGTCACACCCCTGATGTGCTCTCTTCTGGGAGCTGAGAAGCTGATGAATTCACTCACCGTTCACAGGTTTCTCAAGTGTGTGTAATGAGAAAACATCACAGGAAGAGGGAGGGTGCTAAGGAGGAAAGGGAAGTCTAGGGTTGAAATGTCTCGGCAATGCAATCCGTATCCTCACTTTCGGACCAGGCAGAGAGCTGTCCAAGAGAACGGCCAGATGTTGGGGCGCCGGGAAACCGAGAAAGAAAGCAGGTGGCCGGAGCAGAGCCTGGTGCGGTGGGGTAAGGCGGCTCCCTTCATTCTCTGACACTCAAGTGTGCCCTGTCACGAGGGTACCTATTCCTGCTCCTGTTGCTGGTGCTGGCAGCTCAGACTGCAGGTCAGGGAGCACCTGGGGGTGGGAGATGGGAATCTCCGAACGAAGGTGCCCAACAGGGAGGTGGGGTCACTCCAATAGCATGTGGACACTGCATCGGAAGGTCTGAATTGGCCCCAGGGATTAGCCAACTTGCACTGGGAGCAGGTTGAGCCCCTCGTGCAACTCTGTGTATGTGAGCATTAGAAGCCACTTTGGAATTACTCCAGAGGCTTGGATGCATGCCGTCGTCCACACGGGGAACCACTGGTCCCTGGATCCTGGGGAGGCACTTTGCTGGCAATCGCTTATCTTAAATCCCCCGGCTACCAAATGCAGAGCTGCTGGGTGACAGGTGTCTTTGGGGACCACAGCATTTCATTCCATGTGTCGCCCGAGCGCTGTGACCGATTATGTACCCCCCCTTCCAAACTGCAGGAAGCTCAACATCCAAGCTCATCCAAGGGATGCCCACATATGGGCAGCACCTGCGCTGTCCCAGGTCTCTGATCTGACCTAGTCTGACAGATGGAGCTGGCATCTATGTAGACCTGAGGTTTATAGAAAAGGGAAGAATACTCAGTCTGGAGAAAACCGAAAGAAGAAGGGAAAGTGGGTAGTCAGTGGACAAAAAATAGCAAAGTAACGTCTGAGTTTTCAGTCATATGAAACACAAACCCCAGGCAAATCCGCAGAACAGGAGGGAAGAATGGGGAGTGTCGGCTCCATGGGCATGGGCTTCTCCTTTGGGGGGATGGGAATGTCCCAGCTCAGGTAGAGGTGATGGTTGAACATTTCACATGTGGTAAAGGCTGCTGAGTTGTATGCTTTCAAGGGGTGGACTTTATGCCGTGTGAATTTCACCTCCATTTTTAAAAATCAAGGCAAAAATTAATTAAATGAAGCGTGAGATCTCCCCGGACTTCAGTTTCTCATCCACTTGCATGGGGATCCTAGGAACTGCCTCCTAGGACGAATGTGAGGGAGAAACTAGGAGCCGAGTGGAACGTGCCTACGTTTGGTACGCCCAGGCGATGGAGAAATCACGGCGCCGATGACTTGACGCTGCCCGCGAATTATCCTCCGCAGGGTTTGTCACCATCGTTGGCCAAGAGCCCCCACGTTGTGACTAACCATTTAATTAAAACAGCAACCCTTGCTAGATCATATTCCAACAGTGAGCATGTGAGAACATCATTGTTTGGTTTTTTGATTGTGTTCTTTTTTTTTTTTTTTTAAGTCAGGTTTACAGAGGTTTATGCTTTTGCTCCATCATGATGAGAAGCAAGTGGAGCTCAGTTTAGAGGAAGCGGAATGGGGAACTGTCCAGCTAAGGGCGTATTTCCATGCAGATTCCCTCTGGTGGGGCGGGGGTGGAGGGTGGGGGGTGTGGGCATCCACAGGCACCTGCTTCATGTACAGCCCCAAAGCAGGTACTATGGGAGGCGGCTTGAAAAAGGAGGAGAAAAGCAGATTCCAGAAGCTTACAGGGGGTGAATGGAATGAGGACCCTCCCTGCTTCGCTGCATTGCACCACCCCTCCTAATTAAGGGCAGCTCCTCTCAAAGCCAGGGTGCTCACACAGATTGCAGATGTGAAAAGCTGGGCTGAGGCAAGGCAGGAATAGCAAAGGGGAACGGTAGAGTCAGCCCAGACTGAGGAAGGGTCCACCCCAAGAGGCTCTCGGGTGCAACATGGAGGCCCCCCCACCCAGTGCCAAGAACCCTGGACAAGACCCAGAGAAGGGCTGGGTGGAGCAGGGTCTAGCTTGCAGATGGAGGAAGTTGGGAACCTCCCCCATAGCACTGGAGTACAAGGTGTGTGGGAGGCAGGGACGTTGGGACAGGTCTGGTCCATGGTTTTTATTTCCTCTTTAGAGCAAAGGTGGTGCCTTAGGAGGGAGTGGGCTTGGGGAGGTTGGGAGGCAGGAACATGAGGCTGACCTGGCTTGGGGAGCTGGCTGGACTCTGCATCACTGGGCTCCAGCCTCAGAAGCTGGGGCAGGGGCAGGGGGGAGAAGGGGCTGTAGCATCCAGACAAGCCAGTTGACCCTCAATAGACAGGCGACCCATCACTGCACAGGGTGGGTGGGAAAGGAGGCAGGTGGTGAGGAGATATACAGAATGAACCTCACAGCTCAGAGGTCTGTGGGGGCAGGATCAATGAGGTAAGGGGATCCTTTAGGTCCCACAGAGGGCAAAGGAGCCCCCTGGGTGGGGCTAGACATCAAAGAGAGGAGGAGCCCAAATGTGCTGAACTGGCTGCATGTGGGAGGGAGATGCTGTGTTCTGGTGAGAGCCAGGCTTCAGGGGAGTCTGGGCAAAGAAGAAGAGAGTCCGTGAAGACAGACACCAACTGAGAGGTGAGGACATGGAGGTCCACGGGGCGGGTCTTGGGGGTGTGATGGCTGGATCTCCAAAAAGCAGACACTGGACAGGATGAAATAGGGAAGTTAATTGGTGAGGGCGATGTCTGAGAGGGAGGAGGAAGGGAGGAGAAAGGGGGGAGGGGAGGAGGAAGGAAGGAGGGAATGAAGGGGAAGAGGAAGGAAGGAGGGAAGGAAAGGAAAAAGGAAGGCGGGAATGAAGGGGAAAAGGAAGGAAGCAGGGAAAGAAAGGAAAAAGGAAGGAAAGAGGGAAGGAAGAAGGGAAGGAAAGAAGGCAGGAAAGTAGAAAGAAGGGAAGGAGGGAGGGAAGAGAAATGGGAAGGAAAGAAGGAAAGAGGGAAGAAGTTTGTGGTCATTTGTTCCATCGGCCCCCAGGAAGCTAATACACCAAGATAAAAGAGACATTGTTTAGACCGATCAACTCTAAACCCAAGGAAATTACAGAAAACCTGATTGTGCATGGTAAAAGAGAAAGGAACCTCCAAGAAAAGACAAGCCTTTATAAGGATGAGGTCACAGGGAACACAAAGAGATGAAGAGCAGCAGAGACAGTAAGTGGCCAAGAGGAAGAGAAATACTTAGAGAAGTAAGACCCCATTATGAATCACAACAACAGCCAAAGAACAAACACCAGTAAAAATACCACCAGGGCAATGGTGGACAGACCCAAGATGCCACCCCAAACCTAAACAGAGCATCAGGTGTTCTCTGTTGAGTGCAGCTTTATGGGACCAGAGCCCTTTGCTTTTGTACTTACGTGTTTAAAAAGTTTTTAATAGACTTTTTTTTTTTTTAAGAGCAGTTTTAGATTTACAGAAAAATTTAAGTGGAAAGTACAGGAGATTCCTGTATATGCGCTTCCCCTTTGACCCAGTCTCCACCCTTATTAATATTTGGCATCAGTGGGGCGCATCTGTTATCACTGATGTGCCAATACTGATACATTATTATTGATTAAAGCCCACAGTTTACATTAGAGTTACTCTTTGTGTTGGACATTCTATGGACTTGGACAGATGTATAGTGATATATATCCATCATTAGTGATATACAGAGTAGTTTCACTGCCCTAAAAATCCCCTGTGCCCTGCCTGCTCATCTGTCCCTCCCCCAAACCCTGGTGAGTCCTGGGGGTTTTTTTGTTGTTGTTTTTTTTTCTGTCTCCATAGTTTTTCCTTTTCCAAAAATGTCATAGAGTCTGAATCATACAGGATGTAGCATTTTCAGACCGGCCTCTTTCACTTAGTAAATGTATTTAGACATCCTCTATGTCTCTCTGTGCACTTACCCTTTTCTATTTTCTTCCTCTTTTTTTTAATATCCTTTCTGATTGCTGCAAAACTCAAGTTTTTTTTAAATAGAGAAAAAAAACTCAAAAAACTGTTATTACCGTAATGGAAACCCGACCTATCATTCCTTTTTCTTCTCCCCCAAAAATCCATTCTAAAAACACTCAGAGCATGTGTCAACTATACTTACCTTAAAATTTTTACATAAAAATGTAAAAATTTAAATTATTCAAGCAAAACAAGAGAGTCAGAACAATGAGAAACTAATCAAAGTGGGTGTAATATTCCCCAAAAGCGTCTTAAAATCACTGACACGTGTCAACCATGGCTTCAAGGCTCATCTGAACCATGAGTCAAGCTTGACAGAAGGCAGATGGGTAGGTCTGTAGGGTAGATTCCCGGGGCAGTAGTAGTATTTCTCCACGCTGTGTGGGCGATTGTTGTGCAACCTGCCTCTCTCAGGAAGTTCATCCTGGAGAAAAGAGAAGTCGGCGGTGGGTTCCTGTTTTGTACGTCTTATGGGCTCTGGAGTAGGTGGACAGCCCAGGCCATTCTCTGTAGGAGGAATTAGAATCCCAGTCTCTGACACCTGAAGACTTAGCCTGGGGAAGGGCTTGGTGAGCCTGTGCTCCACCCCCAACCCTGTTTAGAGAGGGAAGGATGTGTCCTGGAGGCCAGGTGTGTGGAGCCAGAGCCTGAAGCATGGTCCAGCACCTTCGGAACAACCCTTCCTGACCGTCTCCACTGTTCTTTTGTGGACAATACGCCCATCAAGTGGCTGCCCATCCTAGACTCGTCCCTAAGACTTAGGGAGTGGATCTTGGTACCTGTGGTGGATAGAATAATATCCCCAGAGACGTCCACATCCTGATCCCCATGTGGTGGAGAGAATAATGGCCCCAGAGACATCCTCCCAGGTTCCAGACAGGAATAAAGCCACAGCATGTGGGCAACTTGCCCCAGTGACACGGAGAATGACAAGGTTGGCTGGAGCCCCGTGCCCATGCTGCGGGATAGGCCCTTGGTTCTGCCTCACCCCGAGGCTGGTTGTAACCTGCAGACCCTTCGACAGCCAGCAGTGACCCCCGGCTGGCCAGGTTAGTAGGCTGACCATCAGGCTGGGGATGGTCCTGCACTTTTCCCCAGAGAATCTCCCCAAGGAAACCTCGCTGGGTCCCCCTGCCAAGCGTCCCCATGAGAGCTGATTTCCTCAAAGTGTGACTGTCTGTTCCTGCAGGTTTTCCTCATCCTTTGGGCAGCCCCATGGGACTCCTGGCCACAGCCGTCCTATTCTGCATGCTGCTGGACCCAGTGTTACTCCAGACTCTGGAGCAGCAGGGTAAGGGTGTGAACCTGTCTGACCCTTCTCTGCCTGTCTCATTCCTATGTCCTGCGTATCTGGGGACACATCCTGATGCCTGAGTCCAACTGCATGGGCAGAGATGTTATTGCCCAATTCGGTGAAAATGGAGACCAGGGAACAGAGATGTCAGGCAACGTGCTGGAAGTGACATGGCTGGTGAGAGACAGAGCCGGGACTCAGACCCACACCAGTCTTTCTAGAGGGGGCTCTGATTTTAAAGTATGGACACCAGTCTTTGCCACCCCAAGAAAGGAGGTAGGGGACAGTGGGAATGGCTATCTCCCCGTCCTCCACACAGAGGACCTATAGGAATCTTCATTCACTTGCACAAAATCCATGCAGTCCAGCCTGGCCCTTCTCCTGTGGGTTTTGCATATGGAACTGATAGACTATCTGCACTCAGGAGCCCCGAGGTCCAGGGATGGGCAGGAGCTAGCTCAGCACAGGGAGATGTGCTCTGGATGCATCTGTGCCATCGGATTTCTGTTGACCATTGAAGACTCTCTTGGTTGAGTATGAACTCAAGGGCATATGCAGCTCTTGCAGGACCCACAGGCTAAGACCAAGGCCCATAGGACTGTTGGGGACGGATGATCATTGTTGTCTTGTGCTGGGAAAGTAGGAGAAGTCTGCAGGAAGCCAAGGGGATGCCAGGGAGGGTGGAGGGCCAAGAAACTCAGGAGGTAAGTGACTTATTTTCAGGCCCTGGAGACCTGGAGAGAGGTGGTCCCTGTGCTGGGGGAGGTGTGGTTGGCACCTTAAATAAAGGAGGACGTGGATGTGAGACACCAAGCACAGAGGCCGTGCGGGCTGAGAAACTCAATATACAAATGGACAAGGGGCAGAGGGTCCTTAAGAACAGAACTCTGGCCCACAACCTGCAGCAACCTGCCCGGGGGACCAGCCCACAGAGCCAGCCTGGTGTCTCCACGTCAGATGAGCAAGAAGCCAGTTGTCCGTCCCCATGACAATCTGAAAAGCTAAACAATCCCATCTGGAACAACAGGCTCCAAATGGCCAGGACTTGATCAGTAACCAATGGCTTCCCTACGTGTTGACCCCACTTTCTATTTAGGACCAACCAGAGAAACCAGATATGGTCCCCTAATGAATCCCATATGATGCTCTACTTGTAATGAGCCACCTGCATCTTCCCCACACCCACAGACTCTGCTTAGGGCACAACCGAACGTTCTCCTTCATCCACTGTGAAACTTGCCCACCCCCCTGTCCGCCCTTGATCTCTGAGAAATACCAGTGATGGTGGCCAATGTCCTTACCACAGCAGGCTCTGAATAAACAGCCTCTGCTTGCTCTGACTTGGTAGGTCTTGCCTTACTTACATGGTAGGCATCTTCACATGGAGAAAAGGCACGGAGGTCCAGGTAGGAAGAAGAGATCAATAAGGGGGAGATTCTGTGCATGTGCCAATGCCCTGGGGCCACGTGAGGGGACAGTGGAAGGGGACAGCATGTCCCAGCCTTGACCTTTGCTTACAAGACATGGGATAGGTCAGCAGGCAGCAGGTAGAGGCAGAAAAGGGGTAATTTCTGATTCTGGTGGTCCTGTCTTTCAGATCTTCCAAATGTGGAAGGGGTCCCCAGTCTAAATATGAAGTTTGATTCTTGGAGAATGGAACTGAGTTGGGACTGCAAAGAAAACGCTACCTACCTCGAATGCGTGATGATTCACAAGGAGAACGGGCCGATCCAAATAACAGTAAGATGGATTTGTTATGGACAATTGCTGTCCTTTACCAAGCTCTCATTACATTAGAAACAAGGCAGCAATAGGTGGAAACAGACAGCATGTGTGTGACCCTGGGGGACACGTCTAGGAGCCATGCTTCTGGGTGCACCAGGGAAGTAAGTCCTGGCCTGTGTCCAAGAGGTGCCCGGTGGCCTGATTCCCTGGGGGACTGAGAAACTCCCTGGAAAATGTCTTTTCCCAAAAGGAAAGGGAGTTCAGGGCTCCCGGGGAGGAGCCCCAGCCCAAAGCTCCTATGAGGTTAGACCTGGTACAGATTGTAGGGTGGGATCCTTGGGGACGCTCAACCACCCAAGGAAGATGAAATGAGGCAGGCTGGTGGGATGGGGGATCCAGGGCAACACAGGTAGATTCCAGTCGGGCACCCAAATGCTCCCAGAATTTCCAGGCATCACTTTCAGGGACCGTAATCAAGGGGAAGACGAATGGCTTATTCTGTGACTTTCAGGCTTCTGTACCCCTTCAAGGGGTGTTGCATAGGGGAACTGCCCCCCTACCACCAGAAACAGCAGCTTCTGCTCAACTGATCCATCAAAAATCATCCACGTGGCCGACTTAATCCCCAGAAAGAAATAGTTGGTCCCCAGTGTTCCATGAAAACAAAGTTACCAGACTGAACAGACACAATGTAAATGTTAAGCCTGCGGGAGAAAGGGATATGAGATAGGACAAGAAAATGGAATAACATAAAAGAGCGTGCGTCAAGCTCCATAATGCTTAATGTGATGAGAGATCTCACTGCTCAGGGTGGTGGTCCATCAGCATCACCTCAGAGCTTTGTTACAAATGCAGAATCCCCTGCCTAGAACGTGCTGAACCAGAATCATTTTGACAAGATCCCCGGTGACTGAGGGCACACTGAAATGAGACCTGTATTCCGACCTCCTCAACACTGTAAGACTACCCGAGTCGAGGTCCCACCTTCACGTGGGCATGCCGCCAACCACCCAGAGAATGTACATGGGTGGTGGTGGCGTCTCGGGGTTGGTGGAAGAGCAAACAACATGGAGAGGAGAATAAAAAAAAGGGGTTTCCTAATGCACTGGCTGGTTGCATCTTTCTAGCCCCAGGAGAAAGAATGTCACTGCAAGTTTTCGGATTATTCTCTCCATGATGGAGTCACGCTCATGGTTAAAGTAAATAGCACCCAAAGACCGATTCCAGAAACACTGGTCTACACTAACTCAGGTAGGGAAAACCTCACAGTGATCCTTCTGAACATCACTAGCTTCAAGGTAGATCTCTTCCCTTTTTTTTTTTTTTTTCAGCTTTATTGAGATATACCTGACACCTAGGTATTATACATATTTAAGATACATAGCTTAAAGCTTTGATATACATATACATTGAGAAATAATTACTGCAATTAAGCTATTATCCCTCCCTTCAGCCCCCAGAAAGCACCATTTACTCTCTGTGTCAATGCATTTGCCATGTGTTGGCCATTGTGAATAATACTGTGATGAACATGGGGATGCGTAAATCTTTTTGGGATCCAGATTTCATTTTCTTTGGAAATATACCCAGAAGTGGGATTGCTGGGCCATATAGGAATTCTGCTGTCAATATTTAAAGAAACTTCCATATTTTCCACAGTGGCCGCACCAACTTACACTCCTAACAGCAGTGCACAGGGTTTCCTTCTATTTGCATCTTCGCCAGTATTTATCTCTGCTTTATATATGTATAAATAATATATATATATATAATAGTCATTTAGCAGGTGTGAGGTAATAGCTCATTGTGGTTTTATTTGCATTTCTTTGATGATGAGTGATGTTGAGCATCTTTTTGTGTAGCTGTTGGCCATTTGTATGTCTTCTTTTGAAAAATGTCTGTTCAGGTCCTTTGTCCTATTCAGTTTGTTTAAGTTTTTGTTGTTGTTGTTTTTGTTGTTTTCTGTTTTTGGGTTTTTGGGGGCTTTGGGTTTTTTGTTGTTGAATTGTTTGAGGTCTTTATATATTTTGGATTTTAACCTTTTATCAGATATATATGGATTGCAGATATTTTCTCCCATTCCATAGGTTACCTTGTCACTCTGCTGATTGTTTCCTTCACTGAGCAGAAGCTTTATAGTTTGATGCAATTCCAGGTGTCAATTTTTGGTTTTGTTACCTGTGCTTCTCGTGTCATATCCAAAAAATCATTGCCAAGACCAATGCCAAGAATCTTTTTCCCTATGTTTTCTTCCAGTCGTTCTACAGTTTCAGGTTTTGTGTTTAAGTCTTTAATTGATTTTGACTTGATTTCCATATACGGTGTGAGATAAGGAGCCTATTTCATTCTCCTGCTAATGGGTGTCCAGTTTTCCCAACATTATTTAGTGAAGAGAGAATCCTTCGTCCACTGTTTGTTCTTGGCACCCTCGTTGAAGGTGAACCTTGTTGACCATAGGTCTGTGGATTTATTTCTGGGCTCTCTGGTGTCCCATTGATCTATGTGTCTACCTTTATGTCAGTGCCATACTGTTTTGATTACTGTAGCTTTGCGATGTATTTTGAGGTCAGGAAATGTGATGCTTCTAGCTTTGTACTTCTTGCTCAAGATTGCTTTGGCTATTTGAAGTCTTTTGTGGCTCCATATGAATTTTAGGATTCTTTTTCTATTTCTGTAAAGAACGCCATTGGGATTTTGATAGTGATTGTGTTGATCTATAGATCACTTTGGGTAGTATGGACATTTTATCGCTGTTAGTTATTTCAATTCACAAACATGGATCTCTTTCCATTGACCTGTGTGTTCTTAAATCTCCTTCATCAATGTTTTATAATATTCATCAATATAATTTTATAATATTCAATTTATCCACTTGGTTAAGTTTATTTCTAAGTATTTTATTCTTTTTGTTGCTATTATGAATGGAATTAATTCATTTTTTTAAATTTTATTTTTAAGTAATCTATACACCCAATGTAGGGCTTGAACTCACAACCCCAGGATCAAGAGCTGCATGCTCTACTGACTGAACCAGCCAGGAGCCCCAGGATTATTTTTTTGATTCCTTTCTTGAATAGGTCATTGTTAGTGTATACAAATGCCACTGATTTTTGTATGTTGATTTTATATCCTGCAACTTTATTACCTTTATTTATTAGCTATAACAATGTCTTCTGTTTGTTTGTTTAGTCTTTAGGTTTTTCTACACATTATGGTCATGTTATCATCAAACGGAGCTAATCTTACTTCTTTTTTAATTTGGATACTTTAATTTCTTTTTCTTGTCTAATTGTTCTGGCTAGGACTTCCCATACTATATTAAATAGAAGTGGTAAGAGTGTCTACCTTGGCCTTGTTTCTTACCTTACAAGGTAAGGTTTCAGTTTTTTGGGGTTTTTTTTTTCCCATTGAGTGTGGCGTTAGCTATGGGCTTTCCATATTTGCCGTTTCTTGTGTTGAGGTAAATTGCTTCTATACCTATTTTACTGAGAGTTTTTGTCATGAATGGATGTTGAATTTTGTCAAAGACATTTTCTATAGCTACTGAGATGATTATGTGATTTTTTTTCTTTCATTGTATTAAAATGCTACCACACATTGATTGATTTGCATATGTTGAACCATCTTTGCATGCCAGGGATAAATTCTACGTGGTTACAACGTGCATTCCTTTTAACGTGCTGTTGGATTTGCTTGCTCGTATTTTGTTAATGATTTTTACAACTATGTTTATTAGGATATTGGGATGTGATTTTTTTTTCTCATCCCTTTGGCTTAAGTATCAGGGTGATCCTGCCCTCATAAAATGAATTTGGTAGTGCTCCCTCTTCTTCTATTTTTTTTGGAAGAGTTTAAGAAAGATTGGAGGGGCACCTGGATGGCACAGTCGGTTGAACATCTGACTCTTGGTTTCTGCTCAGGTCTTGATCTCAGTGTCATGGGATCGAGCCCCGAGTCAGGCTCTGTGCTCAGAGGTGAATCTGCTTGGAATTCTCTTTCCCTCTCCCTCTGCCCCTCTCACTCGTGCTCTCTCTCTCTCAAATAAATCAATAAATCTTAAAAAAAAGGATTGGAATTAATTATTCTTTGAATCTTTGGTAGACATTCCAACTATGAAGCCATGTGGTCCACTTCCACAAATTATTTTGTTTGTGTGTCTTCTCAGGTGGGGAGGGCACAGCTGCCCAAAATTTCTCCTGTTTTATCTACAATGCGAACTTCATGAACTGCAGTTGGGCAAAGGGTCAAGCTGCCCCTGATGACGTCCAATATTTTTTGTATATACGAGACTCGAGGTAGGTATTGATCTCATGTAGACAATCCTGAGAAGTACGGGGGGCGGGGGAAGCCCTGATTGTTCTCTGAACAGTTTGAATTTTATAGAAGAAAAAGGGAAAGAGAGTGTCCTCATTACATAGAAGACTCAGGAACCCACGTGGGCTGTCACCTGGATGACCTCTCAGGATTAGCGTACTACAATTATTTCCTGGTGAACGGTACCAGCCAACGGACAGGAATCCAGTTCTTTGATTCGGTTTTGTCGTGGAAGAAAATCGGTAAGAGCCACGTCCTGTGGTGTCAACAGATGCTTAACAGGTGAACCGAACAGAGTTTGTGGGAAGTTTGGAAGAATGGAAGTTTACTCTCTCTCCCAGTTCTGGAGGCTAGAGACCCTGAATCAAGGTGTTGCCAATGGTTGCTTCCTTGTGGAAAGAGACCAACCCATCCTTTTACTCTGAATTAAACGGGGTGACAAGAAGTGCCTACACTGCTAATGAATCCCCCCCCCAACCGCCCCAAAGAAACGAGGGCTCTTCCAACGCCCCCATAGCCTCCAAGAGCTGATCTTGGCACTGGGACAGCCCAGCCAGGCAGGGGTTTTGCCTGCAATCAGGCAGTGAAGCCCCACCAAGACAAAAGGGAAGATGTTCAGACCAGGAGATGGAGGTTAATACTGACCTGTCCTTGGACCTCCCCCATGGAGTAGCACGCACAGCCTTCTCTTGCCGTTTTGGGGGACGCCGTTGGCAAACAGATGCCAACTCTCCAGTTAACCTTCACAGGCCATCGCCCACCCCCGCTCCCCACCTCCGGGCTCACCTGTTGGGGGAGCTCCAGGTGTGTGTACCCAGCCAGGTGGCAGGTGTTCTACCTGTGTCTCAGGGTCTGCGTTTCCTGCTCCTCGCTGCAGACAAACCTCCCGTGGCCCTGACTCGGCCACCCGCCTTCCAGCGGAATCCCCGCCTTTCTCTTTCCCTCCCCATGTTTTTAACATTTTTATTTAACCCAGGAAATCCCAATATTATTTCAAACTTCAATCCTGTGCAGTTGTGACTTACAATAAGAAATGCATGTTTGGTCTCTGTCTGTTTCCGGCACACAGCTGAGAAAACCCTAGGAATTTCCCGGGAGGAGAGCGGTAAATGTGCCTTTTGTTATGTTAAGGAGGTGACAGCTGAAAAGACCCTATGGATGGGCATTGGTTGCCAGGGGAACCAACTGGGTGATTAAAGGATTGGACTTTTCAGTCCCCTCCTATGACCTCAGGGACCGGAAAGGGGCTGGTGTTTGAGTTCAACCCCCAACAGGCAATGATTTAATCAATTGTGTTTCCATGATGAAGCCTCCCTAAAATCCCAAAAGGATGGGGTTTGGAGATCTTACAGGCTGGTGGACATGTGGAGGTTTGGGGAGAGAGGTGCACCTGGTGAGACCATGGAAGCTCCACGCCCTTCCCCCACACTGGGCCCCATACATCTCTTCATCTGGCTGTTCCTGAGTTACAGTCTTTTAAAATAAACCCATGATCTAGTGAGTAACACGTTTCCTTGGGCTCTGTGAGTAGCTCTACCAGATTAACGGAACCCGAGGAGGAGGTCCTGGAAACTTCCGATCTGTAGCTGGTGGGTCAGAACCATGGGTGTCAACCTGGATTTGTGACTGGCGTCTGACCCAGAGGGTGAAGGGCAGTCTCGTAGGGCTGAGCCCCCTACCCTGTGGGATCTGACGCCATATCCAGGTAGATAGATCAGAACTGCGTTGAATTGTAGGACACCCCGCCAGTTGTCTGAGAATAACTTGAAGGTGGGAAGGGGGGACTCCACCTGTCAGAACTGGGTGCAGAATCCTACATACACATCACAACAAAGAAGGACCCCCGTCCTGTTGTGAGCTTGGAGATCCAGCGTGAACTTCCCAGTGACTGTGCAACATTCGGTGTGATAAGATACACTGGATGTGAACTTAACAGCCAAGTGGCCCTTGAAGGGTTTCAGGAATGAAATCAACCCACGGGGTCAAGATCAGAATGCATGCTACCTAAGTGGGATCAGACACAGAACGCCCATCCTGATCGTTGGCGGAACCCACAGTAGGCGGTCACATTGTTGAAGGACACTGGAGCTCCTTGGTCTTTTCTGACAAGCATCCGGTCCTCCCATTGGAAATCATGCCTTTGCTGTCCCCATGGTGGCCCCGTCCCTGCCCAGACCCGTATTTCCCTCCTTCCCTCACTTGGGGTTCCCTGCAGCCTGCCAGACCATCCTGTATGCGCACATCCTCTTCCCCAAGAGGCAACACTCAGACCCACTCGCCCTCGGGCCTCTGGGTAACCCCTGGGAGCTGCCGCAGAAGTGGGTCTGACCTCCGTGGCCCAGCAGAAGCCTGCTGGTTCAGGGGAGTGTCCTGGGATCTCGTTACAGAAATATATAGCCCACCCAACAATATCAGCGTGCACTGCAACAAGTCCTACTGTGTGATCCGATGGGAAAAGCCCAAGACCCGACATAAGCTGTCCAACATGGAGTTCAAGTACCAGCTGGACATCCAGAAACAGGTGAGTGGACTCTGCCCCAAGCAGGACATCGTGCCTCGAGGAGCAGGGGGCAGCAGCCCCTGTGACCTACCATGAGGGCCCAGGTCATGGGAGATAGGCAGGGCTCCGTGATGCATGGGAAGGAACACAGGGGCGGCTGTGGTGGACAGGATGTCCTGGGCGTGACGGTCACCGCCATGGCAAACCCAAGAGAGGTGTCCATACACCCAGCTGGATCCTAAAAGCCTTTGGCGGTTGTTAGAGATCTCCAAGCAGATGCAGAAAAGAGAGGACCTTCTGCTACTTGTCCACTAGGACCCCACCTGGAGAAGGCAGATTGTCTGCGCCACATCTGCCTGGACCCACTGTAGACAAGGGGGACTCTCTGCTCCACATCCAAATGGACTCAGTGTAGACAAGGGGGAGTCTCTGCTCCACATCCACATGGACTCACTATAGACAAGGGGGACTCTGCTCCACGACCACATGGACTCAGTGTAGACAAGGGGGACTCTCTGCTCCACGACCACATGGATTCAGGGCAGATAAGGAGGCCCCTCTGCTCCACGTCCACCCGGACCCTTATTTGGACCCGTCAGCAGCTGGGGTCCAAGGATGAAGCATGATCAGGGTTCATCCTCCCTTGGTGAATGAGTCCATCCCCACCGTCCACGTGACTTGAGGAGAAGGATGTATAGGGGGAGCTCTGCCCTTCACGTGGCCCCGACTATTCGGGTTAACCCGTGAGCACACTCAATGAATGGATCCTGTAAAAATCTTCAAAATGGAGAAAAGTAAACCTAGTTCTACTTATTTTTCTTCTAGAGCACTAAGGAACACAGTGAGGATCAACCGGTGAGTTAAAACTCTGACCCAAACTATCACCCTGTAGTGTAACTTTAAATGTTACTCAAGTGGACACGTGGCCCCCCTGGTGGCCAAGATGGGGGGGCAATGAGTGGGAGAGTGGCGGCTCCCTGGAGGACAGTCCCATCAGTGATGTAGAGGTGCTCCCAACAGGCCCGCTGTGGGAGGGGGGCTCATCTGGGCATGCTTGCCCTGTCCCATTTGTTGAAATTAGTGACCACCCATGTTGGTCAAGAGTTTTAAGGAGATTACGTGTTGGCCAAGAAAATACTCCTTTGGGTTTTAAGGAGATTATTTCTTCCTTTAAAATACCTCTTAAAGATCATCAAAGTCCTTTATGGTGGCGTGTCCCAAGTCCCCGTGCCACCGTGACCTCCGTCTCCTCCTCCGTCCAATGGGGGGCTTTTACTTGGTTAACGTCCTTGTTGGGACATTACCCACCGGTGGCTCTGCTCCTGTCCCGTGTACCTGCTGCATGATTTCTGCGTCTATGTTGACGAGCACCCCAGGAGGGGTTCTGTCGTGAACACAGCACATGCTCACGGTGCTGATTCCCTGAAGCTTTTGGTGCGCAGACAACGCATTAATCTTATACACCATGTATTTGTAGACAGCACCGACGTTTCGCACCGTGAGGGCACGGTTCTGCTTCACTAGCAAAATGGTCCCTTTCCACGGTGCATTTTCCACATGCTTCTGGAACCGTCATCCGTCCCACTGGTGCCGCCGAAAAGACATACCCAGCCCCTCCTTTCTGAACACAGGACACCCCGCTCTCAAACTTTCTCTTTTGTCCAAAGATTGAGGTGCCTGGTAATTTGGAAAATAACTACAGCTTCCCAAGTCCGGAGCCCAGACCCAAGCATACTGTGAAAATAAGGACCTCGGATGCGCGGATCCAGAACTGGGGTTACTGGAGCCAGCCCACTGAGTTTGGTATGTGTCCTGGGAGCGTCCCTAAGTTCGTCTCTGAGCCCTTCCCATCCCAGTCCTGGTCCCTGTCCCTGTCCCCATCCCTGTCCCTGTCCCAGTCCCTGTCACCGTCCCCAGAGACTCCTAGAGGGAGGAGTTCCCCATCCACGGGTCTCCATGGGGCTCAGTTCCTTCAAAGAAAGGGACAATCCGCCCAGCCTCCGAAGGGGCTGCCTCAGCTGGAAATGATCAATCGCTCCTGGTCCCCATCAACCCCGTTCCTGTCATAATCCCAGCCAGGGGAACACTGACATCAAAGTCGAGCGTGTTTTGGCCTAATCAAGAGGGAGCTATTCATTCCAGGGAACTCAATTACCAACACCTTCCACCACCTTCCTCCCTGGAACCTTTATGGGTTGGCACGAATTTAATGGTTTGGACCAAAAGCCAATCGGGTACTCAAGAAGTCTGCATTTCCACACTACCCCTCCCTCCCAAATATTTTCAAAGTGTTTCAGCAAGCATTTTATGCATATAATTTTATGGATTTTTTTTTTCCTGATCCAAAAACGGAGACTTTAATAAGGGCTGGTATAAAATGTATGTGAAATGTTTATCCAGAGGTAAAACATAAGTTCAAAGAGATGGGACAGTGGGTTCTTAGCTATGACTCCAAAACGAGGAACAACAAAATGAAAAAAAAATAGGTCAACTGGCGTTCATCAAAATTAAAAACTTCTGTATCATCTGGAATGACCGCTTTTTAAGCAAATGTATTATTATTAGTATTAGTATTACTATTATTTTGTAAGAGGGCACATTTCATATGTTAATATGGAAAACTCTCAAAACGCCAGACCCTTAATCTGGTTATGGTCCTCCTGATGGGACTGGGGTTTTTTGTTTTGTTTTGGTTTTGTTTTTAAAGATTTCATTTATTTATCTGAGAGACACAGCGAGAGAGGGAACACAAGCAGGGGGAGTGGGAGAGGGAGAAGCAGGCCTCCCGCCGAACAGGGAGCCCGATGTGGGACTCGATCCCAGGACCCTGGGATCATGACCTGAGCCGAAGGCAGACACTCAACTGACTGAGCCACCCAGGTGCTCCCTTGATAAAAAAGATTTTTTTTTTTAAAGATTTCACCCATTTTTTGACAGAGAGAGACACAGCAAGAGAGGGAACACAAGCAGGGGGAGTGGGAGAGGGAGAAGCAGGCTTCCCACTGAGCGGGGCGCCCGATGCGGGACTCGATCCCAGGACCCTGGGATCATGACCTGAGCCGAAGGCAGACACCCAACCGACCGGGCCACCCAGGCGTCCCAAGGGACTGGGTTTCTTACTTGGATTTTTAAAATTGGACTTTTTAAATAGTAACAGATAAAATGTGCCCTGTTACAAGAATAATGAGTTGTAAAAAGTGCACATTCCAGATGATAAGCAACACGGAAGATCTAATACTAGCTGTGAGGTAACTTGGTTCAAACCATACGCCTGGAAAAGTGTATTTGAGGAGGGAGGGGGTCCGTTTTTGTTCATTTATTTATTTTTAAATTTTTTTATTAATTGATTTTTTTTTTTTTACCCATTTTTTTAAATCGGGTCGTCTCGTTGCCAGAGCGCGTTATGGTCTGGACGTTCATGAGGTTGTTTTGGCTCCCGGAGGTTTGCGGGAAGGTTTCGGGATGGGCGCTTTGCTGTGCATTTCCCTCCTGCTCCGATCCTTTCTCGTTAGCCGTGAGCCGGCGAGGGAACGAGCAGGCCGTGCACTGACCGTTCATCCGAAGGGGTGTGTCCCCCTCTCTCCCCAGGTTCCGAGAAAACCGAGCCCAGCCTCGTGCCCATCTATGCACTGGTGGTCCTGGGGACCCTCATCACTGCCCTGATCCTCGGCTGCCTTTTGAAAAGGTAACCTCCGCTGATGGTTGGCATCCTCCTTGCAGATGGGCAACACAGAGAGGGCGCTCGTTCAGATGGAGCGCAGGGAGCCCACTGGTGTGACAACCCTCCAGGGAGGTCTAGCGGGCAGCCGACGGGGGCTTAGTCCTGACCCCTGAAGGGCAGCCCTGGATGCACATTCTCAGATGCTTCCAGGCCCCGGGGCCATGCTGAGCCTACCTGTCTGGGCCTCACATTTCAGCTGGACGCTGGACCTCCTCTGAGGGTTTGCATTCAGTCCCACTGAGCTTCGTCTTTCTGGAATGCCTCCCCGCCCAATCCCTCGTCTGGCCCTTCATTTCCCCCTATAAGTCTTACCGAGTCCTGGAATCCTCGGGGCCGCCAAAGCCCACTCCCTTCCCCGAGGCCTCCTGGGAGCCTTCACATCCACATCTCCCTGCTTACCCTCAGCCTCTCCATGAGCTCATCTGTGGCCAGCTACCACGTCTTGTCAGATGTGTGATCTCAGCACCAAGCAGGGTCTCGGGGGCACCTCACAAATGCCTCGGGGGCACCTCACAAATGAACATGCATACGGGGAAGAATTAATTCTTTAGCTGCAGGCAGATTGCACAGCATGCTTTGCAAAGCATGGAGAGTTTTGCCACTGGTGATCCTCCTGCACACTGTGGGGACCCAGGGGGTGTTCTCCTGTGCGTACCCCTCGATGTCCCCCCAGTCCTGGTTGGGCGTCCTGTGTGCATTTCCCTGAGGATGGACCCGCGTGACTAACTGCACAGGGATGGACCCTAAGGACAAGGACTCTGCCTTGCCTGCTGGATGCCCCAGTCACGGCATGGCACCACCCCGTGCTCTGGGGACCCTGGACCTGGGGGCAAAGGGGAACAGGGGCAGCCCCACAACCTGCTGCCAGAATGGGGATGGAGTGCGTGCCTTACCCAAGGACAGTTATCTTAATGAAAAGCTGTTTGAGTTTCCTGTGGTCACAGGGGAAAAAATGACCACAAACCAGATGGTTTGAAACAACAGAAATTAATCATCTCCCAGCTTTGGTGACCAGCAGTCTGAGATCCAGACGGGGCAGGACCACTGAGATCCAGGCGGGGCAGGGCTGCTGAGATCCAGACAGGGCAGGACCGTGCTCCTTCCTGAGGCTCCAGGGGAGGGTCCTTCCTGCCTCTTCCAGCTTCTGGGGCTCCAGGCATCCCTGGGCTGGTGGCCACGTCCCTCCCATTTCTGCCTCCGTCCTCACGTGGCTTCTCCTCTGTGTGTGTGTCTCCTCTTCTGTGTCTTATAGGGACACCTGTCCTTGGATTTAGGGCCACTGTCATCGATGAGCTCATGTTAACTTGATTGCAACTGCAAAGATCTGATTTCCCAACAAGGTCCTATTTCCAGATTCTGGGGCTCAGGACTTGAATATATATTTTGGGGGGACACTACTGAGCTCAGCAGAGGCACCTCCAGGTCACAGAATGTGAGGTGCTTTCCCTTCGGTAAGAGAGAAAGCAAACGCCCCTTTGAAAATGCAGCAAGACTCCGATGTTTGGCAAAAAGGAAGTCTGCTGTTTAAATAAAAACGCTGGAAATAAGGGGCAAACCCTTAAGCCAGCATATAGACAGAAGCCTGCGAGACCGGAAACTGTGCTCTTCACGGTTGGATGGATGTAAGACAGACACATGCCTTGTGGTCCGAGGGACCCTGGGCTCCCCCAGGCTGCCTGTGACTGGCCACATCCCCCCGTCCTATCCCCGTACCCGAGTGAGCGAGTGAAGGTTCTAGAAAGATCCTATCACTATGCGATCCTATAGCGTCTCCTGTTGGCTCATCTGTCTCAGATTTGAATTGCCCTGCTGTGAGCCTTCCGTGAAATTGTTCTACAGCCGGCGGCCCCGGAGGCTTCTCGCACCGCGGGCAGGAGGACGTGTCACTCCTCGCTGTGAGAAGGACACGTGTCCTCACACTCTTTCCTTCACATGCTTCCTGTCTCCCTAGGTTCCTCACGTCAGAGAGCCTCTTCCCACCGATTCCGCACATCAAAGACAAATGGAACGATACCCATCAGCCTGACCACCAGGTGGGTAAGGGTGGGGGGCAGAGCGGAGAACCAGGACGGGGAGGGGGCAGTGCCACCGGGGACTCCCCTGCATGTCCGCCCAAGGGGGACTGTGCTGTCCTTCATGGACGATGTGGCTGGGATCCCGTGTCCTGCTCGCCGGCCAACCCTGGGTGTCAGGGGTTAGGGTCTTCTCTGTGAGGTGCGTCTAGGGAAATTGGGGGCGCCCTGGGGACAGAGACAGAGGCGGGGAGAAGGGGTCTGGCCTGATCTCATGGAGAGAGAACCCAAGGGCGTCCAGAAGGACCAGGGAGGACGAGGGCTCTGCTCCCCAGACCCCATGCGTGCACTCGTCACCTCTGACCGGCCCTGGGGCGGCGGACACATTTCCTCCCACTGGCGGCTGCAACTCTGTCCCAGGGCCGCCCCACAGGGGGAGTCCCTACCGTCTGCATCATGTCCGCCCGTCTCCGTGACCCCCACCCGCGAGCCAGACGGACGTCTCGTTTCCTTGTTATCAATGATCAATATCAGCAATATGATCATACACCCTGAGCCCCTCCCCAGCCCAGGGTCCCACCTAGCTCACCAGGTCTGGAGAAGCCCTCTTCCCCTCCCTTGGTCCCCAGACTCCATCATGCCCCAGGACGTTTGCACCTGCTGGCACCTATCCCAGGCATCTCCACGGGCGGTCCCGCTACAAGATCTCACTCCCGCTGGGTCCCCGATTCCCATCTACATCCGTGGCCCAGTAGGGTCCTGCTCTCTGGGCTCCTGAAACCCCAACATCCCCATCTTCCCTCCCCTCCTCAGGTCATCTGGGAGAACTTCACCTTGGACACGGAAAAAGGTGACAACGAAGAGATCCTCACTGTGGAAGAAGTCACAGTGGCCCTGGCGAGCAAGTGAACTGCATGGACTCTTCCGCCCCGGAACATTCTGGAAGCTATTTTTTTTTTTTAATTATTATTGTTGTTGTTTTGAGCCATTATTTATATAGTGTTCTATTTTTTTACTTTAAAAGAATGTGATATTTTGCAAAGATGCTTATAGTCGGGGGGATTGTTGAATGCCCTTGGATCCTGAACCCGTGATGCACCTGCTTCTCCCCCAGGGAAACAAAGAATTCTCCCTTGCATGATGGCGGCTCAGGCGCTCGCCTGCCAGGAGCCAGTGGGGCTGGGACGTGGGTCTCTGGCGTGTCTGCTGTTGCCGTGGGAACATTGCCTTCCCCCTGTTTCTCCACCAGCTGCAGCTCAGCCCCATATGCGGGCCGTCTGGGGGTCTTGAATAGTTGTCTCCGTTGCAAAGTCCCATTTGCCACCTAATGTGACATGTTCTCAGGCTCCAGGAATCGGGGTGTGGACATCTTTGGGGACATTGTTCCATCCACCATGCGGGGATCAGGACGTGGACACCTTTGGGGAGATTATTCTGTGCACCACTCAAGAATCGGGTTGCGTCTACCACACGGGGATCAGGATGTAGACGTCTCTGGGGACATTATTCCGTGCACCACATGCAGACGTGTTTGGGGATGTTGCTCCATCCACCACACGTGGATCGGGATGTGGACATCTTCATCTGCAGGCATGGGCAGGGATCAGAGGGGTCTTCTCGCAAGGATCCTGAAACCAACTCTGCACCTTGACCTTTGAGACACGGCCACCCCCATGAAGGTAAGTGACGAGGAAGTGTTTAATGTGGGTCTTGTTGAGACAAGAAGCAAGTCCCACGCGGGGAGTGAACCGCGAGGGACCGCATGGTGTGCATGCAGCAGGTACCTACGGAAAGTTTTAGAAGCCAGTGAGAGTGTGCTATGGAAATCACGGCTCGCCTAGGCATTGGATTTGTTGATGAGGATGAAGCTCACGGGGAGAGCAAAATGTATCGGGAAATATAGAAAGATACATATAGATACAGACACAGGTCTATGGATATGGAAACATATATACAGAAGAGAGAGTAAACCGTGTATGTGGACATATACACACAGAGAGAGACAGAGACAGGCAGATACATATTTGGAGAAATAAGTATGGACATATATACAAGAAGATACATATGAAGATGGTAGAGAGACCGATCTCAAGGAAGGGGCTCTTGCGATGGTGGGGCTGGTCCGTGTGAAACCTGCAGGGCAGGTGGGCAGGCTGGAGACGCAGGTGGGAGGTGATATTGCACACCTGAGGCAGAAGTGCTTCTCTGGGAAACCTCGGTGTTTGCCCTTGAGACCGTCACCTGATTGGACAAGGCCCACCCCCCTGTGAAGTAACATCTCTTCAAGTTAGCAGCTTGTGGATTTTTTCTTTCTTCTTTCTTTCTTTCTTTCTTTCTTTTTCTTTCTTTCTCTCTTCTTTCTTTCTTTTTTTTTTTCCTTGTGGATTTTTTTTTTTTTGTCCCACCTGCAAAACACCTCTAGCTGAGTGTTTGATTGAGTAACAGGGGGCTTGTCGCCTATCTGTGTGAACACACGAACGGATCCTCATGGAACCGTTTCAATTGGGAATGCATTGCAATGTGCTCTGCAGTGGGTCCCCTGTGCATGTCCCAGGTGACACGTGCCAGGGCGATGGGGCCCTGTTCCCTACGGTAGTGCCCCACCACCACCACCCGTGCCTTCCCAAGGGGCTCCTGTGTGATCGGGTGGGTCTGCCCAGGGTGAGGGGGCCCTACCCCAGGAGCTTTGCTCTGCAATTTGCTCCTGATAAAGTTTCAAGGAACAAAATTATATGCTCAGGGCCTGCAGTGATCCCCCAGCTGCTGAACCCCACTTCAGAGGTGTCAGGGGCCTCACCTCAGTCAGCTCACCAGGAAATGAAAAGGAAAACAGAACCAAAAGAAGCACTGATTTACAGCATTTTCTGCTTCCTGTGTTGCAGATCGTCCGATGGCCTGACAGGAGCTGTGACCTCTCCTGGGTGTTCAGCGCGGGCTCCCCGAGTGTGTACTAGGTGGTTCCAGCTTGCCCCTGCCTCACAGGTTCCGACCAGCACTTCCCATGAGTCCTGTCCATCTGTCCATCCGTAAGATCATGCACATGATGCAGGAAACCTGTTTGCCTTCCTTCGTGTCTATGAAACACCATCACGCCTTCACACGTGGGGGCGTCCCTTCACGCCAAGAATTGTCCGTGGAAAGTAAATGCTGCCCAGAGTCCTGAGGGACCAACCTGGCCTCCAGGACGACAGATGCCAGCCCAACGGAGGCCGACAGCAGAGGACAGGGCCTCCACGTGGCAGGAGTACGGCTGGCCGCCCAAGGGGCCCATGCAGGAGTGTGAGGGGTAGAAGCACAGATGGCAGAATCAAGGCACTTTGAAATTTTGCCCTGGAGCGGCCCAGATGGGACCAGAAGATTCTATGCACAGAAAACAAAAAACCAGGTTTCTGTGAACAAAACTATCCACCGGCAAACAATGGATTCGGGAGAATCTAAATCACATTGTGAAGTAGAGACATTTTATATTTAGCCTTTCCACTTTCTAGTTCCTGCTTTCCTTCCCCGTTCTGCCTCCCATGACGCCCTCCCCTCTAACCCTTAACTTCTATGAAAGAGTGACTTCCTGCATTTATGAGCGTTTGTGATATCAGTCATTATCACCTTAGTATGAATTGGCAGGCACCTTCCCAGGCTGGTTGCATTTCATCATCAGGTGTAAGGGCTGATGGTTTTGTGAGGTTTAAAAGAGTCTAAACTTGGGGGGGGGGGGGCTGGAGAGACTTCTTTCGTTCAGGAGACATTTTCAGTGTCCCTGGAATAACCCCGTAGGAAAGATCCCCTGGTGAAGTCCTCGACTGGAAAATGGGTGCAGTGTCAGAGCAGGATGAAGCTCCAGGAGAAGCAATTCCAGGTGCAGAGGGACCCTAAGACCCCACTCCACACAGGATCTTGGAAATGGCTCTCTGTCTGGATGCTGGGGGGGGTCTCACCCCAGCTCTGGGTCCCACCCAGAGGACGCCCAAGAGGACTAGGAGTCCAGGAGGAAGACCTTCAGGGGGTCAGCAGGCTGTGAGGGCCAGTCGCAACCTGGGGGTTAGATGGGCTCCTCCTTGGAACCCTTTCTCCTTAGAGGCTGGGGCCACACCCGCTTCTGGGGAGAGAGCCTCCCTGAAGCGTGTTCTCCTGAGATAAACGGTCTGGGGTCACACTCGGCTTCCATGTGCTCACATTGTCAAGAACATCAGGGGAAGGCATGCAGCGGGGTGAGTAGCTGACAGATCAGGGGAACAGAGCTGGGGTGTACCCCATGTTCTTGCAGATGCATGAGAAAATGCCCCATGTATGAGAGCAAGCTCTCTGCCCGTGGTGGGAGGAGTTCTCCAGGAAATATGAGAACTGAGCATGCCCTGGGGGATCATAGGAGGCCAGGCAGGCGAGTGGGGGTGCTTTCCCTTGCACAGACAGGGGGAGAGGGGCCCGGAAAGCAGGGCAACTGTTGGCCATGTGTAGGGGAGACGGGGACCCTGTGGAAGATAATCTGAGTCTAGATATGTAGGCAGGGCAGCTGGGGTTTAAGCAGGGGTGTTTGGACAAGTTTCCAGGGTGCTCATAACAAAGCAGCACAAACCAGGGGGTGGGAGGGCTCAAAACATCCGGCATATGTCCTCCCCAGCTCTGGAGACCAGAAGGCTGAGATCCAGGCAGGGCGGCTGAGATCCAGGCAGGGCAGGACCCCTGAGATCCAGGCGGGGCAGGGCCAAGCTCCCTCCCAAGGCTCCAGGGGAGGGTCCTTCCTGCCTCCTCCAGCTTCTGGGTCTCCAGGCGTCTCTGGGTTTGTCGCCACATCCCTCCCGTCTCTGCCTCTGTCCTCACGTGGCTTCCCCTCTGTGTGTGTGTCTCCTCTTCTGTGTCTTATAGGGACACCTGTCCTTCGATTTAGGGTCACCCTGATCCAGGATGAGCTCATGTCAGATCCTTCACTTGATCACATCCCAAAGACCCTATTCCCAAATAAGGTTCCCTTCCCAGGTATAAGGAGCTAGAACATGGGCATATATTTTGTGGGGGAGAAAATCCCACTCACTACAGCCTTGTAATGAGGACTCCCTTCCCCACTGGGTGAGCCCCCAATGTCCCAATCTGTCCCCAACTGCACCTGGACCCCTTGTCCCCATGCACGTCCTCCACATGAAGGGTGCCACTGCATTCAGAGTTTTCGTAGATGGCGAGATGGGGAGACGGGGGACCAGGAAAGCAATGTGGGGAGCGAGTCTGGGGGCCTCTCCTGTCCCTTCCGATTCACAGGCTGGGGACTTCAGAAATAAAACATTTGAAACCTGGGACCCGTTGCTTTTAACGCCAATGGGTGAGGACGGGGAAACATTTCTGTGTGATGTTGTCACCGAGGGTGTGTGACATCATGGGGTCTGTCCCCAGTGCGTTGTAGCCAAGAATGCACCGCTCAGCTTGTAACAGTGTAGCGACATCACTTGTGACAAATGTAACAAATGTATCAAATGTACTGCCCAGAACAAGATGTTCATAATCAGGGAAGTGCAAGAGGTGGTTGGGGAGGTCATGGGAACCCTGCATTTTCCGCTCAGTGTTTCTGGGAACCTGAAACTGCTTTAAAAAGGAAAAAAAAAAAGAAGTCTAATAATAATAATATTGACAATAAAAGTCCCAGAAGGGAGAAGCAGGTGAAAAGCAGAAAATAAAGTGTCTCACGGTCATCCGAAGCAAAACAATTGTCTTGGAAGATTCTGTCTTTTAGGTTTGGACGCACGGACGGGACACAGGACAGAAAAGTGAGCTCGGAAAGTGTCATTTTTGGGTGGATCTCAGCGCAAATCGAGTCACTTCCAACGTGCACGGACACGTTCCCAGCTCTTGTGTCTCTGTCTCTCTGTGGAGACCCCGGCAGGCAGCAGAAGATTCTAGAATCCCACCCACCACTTGCTGCCGGCAGAAGGCCCCATGTTGTGGGGCAGAGCCAGCTGACCAGTCGGATCTGAGGGTCTCGGGGACCCCCTCCCTCACGTGGAGCCCGGCCCAAAGTTAGTAACACCTCCTGCATGTAGGGGCCACACGGGGGACCCCGGTCCGTCCGAGGCGGCTGGGCAGGCGCAGGGGGGGAAACAGGATGTGGAGGCTCTGACTCACCATCCCCGTGTCTCAACCGCCCTGCTGTCCGAGTTCTCGTTGTGGGGCGGGACGCGGGGTCCTGCAGGGAGGCCTGTGTTTGCCCGGATGGCCTGGGCTGTCCCCACCCTGAGCTTCGGGACCCGGGGTTAGCACGAACGAAGCATGCTAACACAGCATGTGGGCCCCCCCGCCCCAAAGCTCTGTCTCCCCGCACGGCTCCCAAGCAGTCCCCGTGAACCCCACAAGGGCTGTCACCTTGCTCGCACGTCCTGGGGGACGTCCCCAGAGCCGTCACCGAAGTACCAGGTACAGACGCGGCTGCAGACCTTCGCATCCCTCGGAATTCAACGTGTCCCGCGGTTCACGACTCCGGGGACGTCCCCTGGGCTGGGCATTGCGGGCATTCGGTCAGGTGAGTGTGAGCAAGTGTGTCAGCTCTGCAAACAACTCTGGACGTTTCCCCTACAATGATAACCTTTCGAAGGCTCACGTACGGACCTGGGGGGCAAAGTTAAATTTGGAAAAGACCCCAACACCTCTTCCCACATACCCCGCGTCCTCATACATCGTGTCTAAAACCGGTAACAACGTGGTTCCCACCCAACCAACGTTGCTTCTCCACCTCTAACAAGGGTCCCGATTTGGGGGCACCTGCCGGGCTTGGTGGGAAGAGCACCTGAATGCTTGATCTCGGGGTCGTGGATTCGAGCCCCACGCCGGGTGGCGAGATCACTCAGAAACAAAAAAATAAAGGCACACATTCCATGTAAGCGATGTGACATGATTTTTGGTGACCACCGAGAAGCTTAGTTTTTTAAAGAGCGCCTTAACGAGGTATCACAGAGGTAGAATGTTCTCCACGTGATTGAAACGTAAGGCATGACACCGCGTGATTTATGCAGACACCTGCGAGATCATGTCCACGGTGCGGATGGTGAACACCTACGTCACCCCATCAATGCCACGCAGGACTCGGGACACACAGGTGACCCGTAAACAACGGGATTGCGGCATCCACCCCGTGCGTGGTGGAAAACCCAGATAACACTTTTGACTCCCCCAAACACTTAATTAGGAGGGGCCTGCTCTTGGCTGTAAGGCTGACCAATAATAACGTGCAGAGTCCATTAACACAGTTGCGCGTGTTCTGTGTATCATAGGCTGTGTTCTTAACAATAAAACAAGCCGGAGAAAATCAAATGGGGTGAAGAGCGTCATAAGGAAGAGAAAATACATTCACAGTCCCGTCGTGTATTCATCAGAAAAAAATCAAGAAAAAATCTGCACGTAAGTGGACCCAGGCATTTCAAACCCGCGTGGTGCGAGGGGTCGCCCGATTTCTGAACAATTAATAACTCTTACAACGGTTAGGGGAGGTTTGAATAATTAAATAATTGTAAAGTGTTCTGGTTTGTCCATTCTGTGCCGGGGAGCATCGAGGTCACCCCCGCCAAGCACGCACCGTGCCCAGGGTCCGTATTCTGTGCCCTCTGGTCGTGTCTGAGGCATCAGATGGTTTTGCCAAAGGGGGTCCGTTCTCCTGGCCTCCATGACGACCGACCAAGAGATGGCAACCCGCCATCATTCCTCAATTATCCGCCGATGGTGGGCGTCAGCCATGCTTCCTTTTCCTGCTGCCAGCCCATCCCCGTGGTCGCGACGTTCACGGCGAATTTGGGGGGTCGGGGTGGGTAAGACTCGACCACGTGACCCACTGCCCAGACTCTCCCACGAAGCTCAGAAGGACCCGCCAGCCTGCACCGTCCACCATGCTCTGCATTCTTGACGGCTTGCTGTGTGTTCTAGAACCTTCCAGACCCGCACACCCCGAGGTCATCCCTGCCCCAAGGCTTTGCAGCCGTGCCTCCTATGCCCCCCGAATCTTCCACGGGCTCCCTTGGTTCATCAATGCATCTGTTCGACCGTGTCCTACTGGGTAAGACCTTGTCAGAGCGTCCTGACGCATGTAGCCAGGAGGGCACAGCCCTGCTCCGGCAGAGCCCCCGTTTCCTGCCTCGCTCCTGTGCATTCGGCGTCCCCACCATCCCTGACAAGTTCCCTCCTCGTGGCCATGCTTTGCCCTGGAACGTCAACCCCGTGACAGCAAGCTCTTTGTCATCCCTTTCTCCATCCCCCCGTCACCAACGCCGCGGTCGACCCCAGACTCGGCGAGATCTGCCATCCGTATTTCTGGGATTTATAGAATGACAGGGTGGCTGAGGAGTCCAGACCCCCTTTCCTTCCTACCACGGGCAGTTCCCTACTGCCCATTCAGCTTTGCGGGCGCCCGCGTGGGGGTCTTTCTTCCCCACAACCAGGGATCTGGCCGGAGAGGGTGCCGTATTGAATCCACAGGCACGAGGCGCTTTCCCTTTCAAATCAAAGCAAAGAGAGACCCTTCCCGCCAACACTCCTGCTTTTCTACAAACCTCCCACTTGCTTCTGGGTTTGGGAGTGAAAGAGTCACCTGCTCCTAGAGTAAAGAGCAGGAGTGTAACTATTGCATAAGGCCATGGGGGATCACGTCACCCATCAAATGGTAACCCATTCCCTACCGAGGGACATGGTTTGGACTTTGTAGACCCAACGAAGACAAGGCATTCCAGAGCATAGGCATCCCAAGAGCTGCCTTTCTAGCCATGCACTCCCTTCACGTGGCATCTCTGGGATCTCTCTTGTCTACACCACGGGATGAAATGGTCTTTGAGAAGAGCAAACAAGGCGATAGGCACATTTCATGAGAAAAGCCTCCAAAGGACACCATTTCTGAGGGAGGAGAAACCCAGGGAATGGTTGTCCCCGTTCCCGAGAGCGCTGGGGGCAACCACCTCCCGAGCTCTCCCACTGGATCGGTCCATCCAGGCTCCACGGAGGAGGGTGGTCAGAGAAGGAAGGCACAGCCTCCCGAAGTGGCAAGGAGCCGTCCCCTCAGAGCGGAAGCATTGGAGGCTTGCATCCCCGCCCGGGGGAGCCTCGGGGACACACGCCAGGACCACGTCACGCACAACACCGAGCAGAGCTCAGTGCGTAGGAAGGGCTCGCCTCCCCGCGAGTGGAGGGGAGCGTATGTGAGCACAGACACGGGGGCCAGAAGTCTCCAGAACATGACACAGAGCACAGAAACCCTGACCACCCCAGAGGGAATAGGTGGGCAAGTGGCCAGAGACATCCTGCTGCAAAAAAAAAAAAAAAAAAGAGGAACCCCAAGATGCTGATAAAAGCAAGGGGCCGGCTTCGAGCTTGAGACAGACGGCGGGCTGTGTTGTAACGTTTCCTGTCCGGCGGGGCGATAACGCGGGCTGGTCGCTCATTGAGAAGGAGGACCCAGCGGATGGCAGATAAGGCGTCTCTGCAGATGCTGACCTGAGCACGAACTGCGGGTGGGCGTCCGTATGCGGGAGGCTCTTGGCCGGGCTCTTTCTGCTGGTTCCCTGTGCCGTCCTGGGGACCGCGGCCTGCGGCGCTGCCAATCAACCGGGCAAGACAGCGCCTTCCAAACGTGCTGCAACGCTCCAAGAACGTTCCGGAAAGCCGGCTGACCAGTAAGTTGGACGTTTCTCGCATCGGTAGGGCAGTGGCTTTGGCGTGATCCTACGGCGGGGCGGGATCGGGATGGGAGGGAAACGGGTGCGGGGCTCGGTGCGTCCCTCGCGGAGCGGGGTGGGGGGCGGAGGGCGAACTGGTGGGGGTGAGCATCCCCACGGCAGGAAGACGGGAACCCACGTCTTGGGGAAGCCGCCGCGTTGTGTTGCTTTATGAAACACACAGCCGGTAGGGCGGGCGGCGTGTGCGTGAATGGTCGCGGGGTCTGGCTAGTGTGTAGAAGGCATATTACTCCTGGGTAATCACACGCTATTTCCTCGGGGGTTAAGGATTAAGGTCACCGAGGGCCGGGCTTCGAAACTGACGGGTCCCAGAGCCGCGGTCCAGGCGGGGACACGGGCTCTAGTCTGCAGGTCTGCACGGGGTGGACAAGCTGCCTTCCCTTGCAGCTTCCCCGGGGGCGGGGGTCCCCAGGAAGGGTGTGGCCTGGGGAGGACAGCACGGAGGCCACCTAGCTCCATCCCGAGCAAGGCGAGGCCGTGACGTGCAGCCGCCGGCAGCGATGGGCGAGCTCGCAACTCGTCCCTGCGGCAAATGTTGACAGCTCCGATCTGTCCACCTGGAAGCTGGAACCACTGAACCAAAGGGCAAAGGTGAGACTTACGTGGGGTGGGGGGGGGGGGATTGCCGACGGAGGCAAAGCGTTGTTCCCAACGGAGAAGACTCTCAGCATCTCCGGGAAGGGGCCGGGTGCCACCTGTAGCCGGCAGCCAGAGATCGGGGATAGATCGCTGAGACGCGGGAAAGAAAGCAGGCCAATGCCCAATTTAGGACTAAATACATCGAACCCCTTTTATTTGTGTTTGCATATTTTCAGATAATGACACTGGGGTTACTTCTGGAAACACCCTGGTGGCTTAGAAATACACAGCAAGATATTTTTCAATCAGATATGGGCTTAAGGTTTGCCTCAAACATCCCACGGGACGGGGGAAAGGAGACAGGGAGGTACAGGGGACGAGTGAGGGGGCACGATGACAACTGTCAGAGAGAATAGAGGGTCCCACCTCCCCCGTGCACCCTCCAAAAGTGCAGAGAGCTCAGTGCAGACATGTCTCCAAATTCCTGCAGTCTGCGCAAGGCTCAGGGAGAAGAGTTGTCTTATCAAGGATGGCTGTGCGCATGCACACCAAAAGCAAAAGGAATCTTATTTGTTCGTAAGATGTGCAGAAGAAACGGGGTGCCCAGAAGGGTTAATGGGCATGTCGTTGGGTCAACGCCATGAGAAGGGCAATTGGAGACTCTGAAAATGCCAAAGTCCCAGGCCTGGTGCTCAGCCACTCATATGTCCCGCGTGGGCCTCTCCACCTGCCCATGCCCAGACGCCGCCACGTCCCTCCAGGGGATGCCGAGCCCCGTGCAAAATGCAGAAACGTACACATTTGTTTTCTGTGCCTCAGTGACACAGTCTGCACGTCATGGTTCTTATCCGTCTCCTAGGAGAGCATCGAAGCTGACGAATGCAGCCATTTCAGGACAAATCAGGAGTTGGCAGAGGGGGCAGCTAATTCCCAGCAGGGGCCTGGGGTCCTGAATTCTAATTCTGTCCACCCTGCTGGATGCCCCAAGATGCCAGGGGTGCATCCAGCCCTCCCCTGGCTCCCCCCGCAGGGTGGCCTGTCCCGAGGATGGGTATTTACAGAGCCTCACACCTGCCCTCAGCTCCCACCTCCGGAGTCACCAGGCATCCGTGCCAGGGTCCAGACAGGAGCCCCCACTCCTGGTCCCTGCATGCAACAGACAGTGGACCCCATCCTTCGGCCCTAGGACTCACAGTGCAGACACAGCTGAGGGTGGGGACAGCCTTGGACACTCACCCAGCGTCAGCATACATTGCTTTCCTGGAGACTAGGCTGTGGGAGTCGGCTCGGGCGGCTGTAACAAATAGCCCAGGTGGGGCGACTTCAATAATAGACATTTATTGATCCCGGTCCTGGAGGCTGGGAGTCTGAGATCCAGGCAGGGCTGAGGCTGGGAGTCTGAGATCCAGGCAGGGCTGAGGCTGGGAGTCTGAGATCCAGGGGCTGGAGGCCGGGAGTCTGAGATCCAGGTGAGACCGAGGCTGGGAGTCTGAGATCCAGGTGGGGCTGGAGGCTGGGAGTCTGAGATCCAGGTGGGGCCGAGGGTGGGAGTCTGAGGTCCAGGTGGGCTGGAGGCTGCGAGTCTGAGATCCAGGTGAGACGGAGGCTGGGAGTCTGAGATCCAGGTGGGCTGGCGGCTGGGAGTCTGAGATCCAAGGAGGGGCTGGAGGCTGGGAATGTGAGTGAGATCCAGGTGGGGCCGAGGCTGGGAGTCTGAAATCCAGGAGGGGCCGAGGCTGGAAGTCTGAGACCCACGAGGGGCTGGAGGCTGGGAGTCTGAGATCCAACTGGGGCTGGAGGCTGGGAGTCTGAGATCCAGGTGAGACCGAGGCTGGGAGTCTGAGATCCAGATGGGTCTGGAGGCCGGGAGTCTGAGATCCAGGTGGGGCTGGAGGCTGGGAGTCTGAGATCCAGGTGGGGCCGAGGGTGGGAGTCTGAGGTCCAGGTGGGCTGGAGGCTGCGAGTCTGAGATCCAGGTGAGACGGAGGCTGGGAGTCTGAGATCCAGGTGGGCTGGAGGCTGGGAGTCTGAGATCCAGGTGGGGCCGAGGGTGGGAGTCTGAGGTCCAGGTGGGCTGGAGGCTGCGAGTCTGAGATCCAGGTGAGACGGAGGCTGGGAGTCTGAGATCCAGGTGGGCTGGAGGCTGGGAGTCTGAGATCCAGGTGGGGCCGAGGGTGGGAGTCTAAGGTCCAGGTGGGCTGGAGGCTGCGAGTCTGAGATCCAGGTGAGACGGAGACTGGGAGTCTGAGATCCAGGTGGGCTGGAGGCTGGGAGTCTGAGATCCAGGTGGGGCCGAGGGTGGGAGTCTGAGATCCAGGTGGGCTGGAGGCTGGGAGTCTGAGATCCAGGCAGGGCTGAGGCTGGGAGTCTGAGATCCAGGTGGGGCCGAGGGTGGGAGTCTGAGGTCCAGGTGGGCTGGAGGCTGCGAGTCTGAGATCCAGGTGAGACGGAGGCTGGGAGTCTGAGATCCAGGTGGGCTGGAGGCTGGGAGTCTGAGATCCAGGCAGGGCTGAGGCTGGGAGTCTGAGATCCAGGTGGGGCCGAGGGTGGGAGTCTGAGGTCCAGGTGGGCTGGAGGCTGCGAGTCTGAGATCCAGGTGAGACGGAGACTGGGAGTCTGAGATCCAGGTGGGCTGGAGGCTGGGAGTCTGAGATCCAGGTGGGGCCGAGGGTGGGAGTCTGAGGTCCAGGTGGGCTGGAGGCTGCGAGTCTGAGATCCAGGTGAGACGGAGGCTGGGAGTCTGAGATCCAGGTGGGCTGGAGGCTGGGAGTCTGAGATCCAGGTGGGGCCGAGGGTGGGAGTCTGAGGTCCAGGTGGGCTGGAGGCTGCGAGTCTGAGATCCAGGTGAGACGGAGGCTGGGAGTCTGAGATCCAGGTGGGCTGGAGGCTGGGAGTCTGAGATCCAGGCAGGGCTGAGGCTGGGAGTCTGAGATCCAGGGGCTGGAGGCTGGGAGTCTGAGATTCAGGGATTGGAGGCTGGGAGTCTGAGATCGAAGCAGGGCTGAGGCTGGGAGTCTGAGATCCAGGCAGGGCTGAGGCTGGGGGTCCGAGATCCAGGGGCCGCTGAGGCTGGTTCCTCCTGAAGCCTCTCTCCTTGGTGTGTAGACCCCGTGTCCTCCCTGTGTCCTCACGTGGTCGTCCCTCTGTGCTTGTCTGTGTCCTTATCCCCTCTTCCTATAAGGACCCCCATCCTATGGGATCAGGATCCACCCAATGGGCCTCACTTTACCTTAATCCCCTCTTTAAAGACTCCGCCTCCAAATACAGCCCCATTCTGAGGTCCTGGGAGCAAGGGTTTCGACACGTGAATTTTAGGGGGGCACGACTCAGCCCCCAGGAGAAGCCCCTTTCTTGGAGAAGGGATATACCCACCTGACTGCTCACAGGTCCCCTTAGGCCAAGACCACAGCTCCTGATGCTGAAAAGGACTCTTTCCCCTCAAAGCATTTTCTCCTCCACAGGCTTCAAACGCCCTTTGGAACCTTATCGCTGGGCCTGGCTTTGTCCCCTCTGAGTTTCTCCGGCAGCCGACCCTGAGGTTCTGTGTGGCCCTTCTGTGGTCTGCGTTCACACGGAGACTGACTCAGCACCGGCCCTTCCCCAAAGAGCTCACTTCCCCCAGCCCTGGCCACGTGGGCTCTTCCTGCCCTGGACATGTGCCTCCAGAGAGACCTCGGATCTCCCTTTGTAGCTCACATATGTCCCCAGGTTTCCTTCCTTGTGGGGGAACGTGTCAGCAATGATCCCAGAGTGCCTGAGCCGTGTTGGTGGCACGGCAGGGCCACCCCCTTAAGGGGAAGGCGGGAAGCTGTGAGCCGGGACGCACCTGAGACCCACCACCATCAGGCACAGGCAGACCATCCCCTGCCTTGGGACTGACCCAGAACAGGTGCATTGAGAACGCCTTCCAGGAGGGGTGGTCTCCGCCGGGCTGAGCCAGAGCACCCCCCTCCCACCCACTGCTCTGGTTTACAGAGCCCTGCACCCCACACGGAGGGGCCAAGGTCAGCCCTGAAGGGCACCACGCCATGCCACCCCACCCCACAATGTACCTCTTGGGCATATGGATGATTTTGGAACACAAGCCATTGAGAACCAGCAGAAGCAGGAAAAAGCTCTATATACCTCCCTAACTGCCAGAAAATAGAGGACATCAAGTACCCCTTGGGAAAGGAAAAGGACATTTGTAAATGAAGTTCCTAATGGTAAAAATGGTTCTCTACCAGGAACATGACTACACCCAGAGATTTACTATCATCTGAGAGATTCTTATTAACAACAGCCCGTATTTACCACACATTTCCTGCTTTCCATTTCTCCATAACTGTCCTTCCCCGATCGGAACCCAGAAACCCCCTTCTGATGTTGAATCAAAGATGCTTTATAAGCCCTGATCATCTGGCTGTCTCCTTGAGCCGCATTTTTCTTTGTGAACCTCCATGCATATATATGTAGTTAAGGCTGCTTTTCCTGTTAATCTTTTATCCACTTAATTTGCAGGTGTCAGGAACAGAATCTAAGAAGTTAGAGGGAAAAGGTTATTGTTTTTTTCCTCCTGTACAACCTCTATTCTCTGACTCTCCCTTTTCCCAGCCTTCTCCCTTGGTCTGTCCTATGCACGAAGACTTCTTGCTCACTAATGAGACACAGAGCAGAAAGGAGTTTACCTGCTTCCTCCAGGTAGGAAGATAAATGTCTCTCATCCCAGGAGGTTGGAAACGGTCTCTGGAAAGGGCTGAAACACTGTAATGTCCTAAGGGGTTTGTGTACCCCGAGTCTCTGGTGACCTCCAGGTTTGTACTGGCTCTTTCTACAAAGCTATTCCCTCCTTGGAGCATGTGGGTGGCTCAATCCATTAAGCATCCAACCCTTGATTTCAGCTCAGGTCATGAGATCGAGCCCTGCAGTGGGCTCTGTGCTCAACAGGGAGTCTGCTGGACATTCTCTCTCTCCCTCTGCCTCTCCCCTCACCTCTCTTTCTCTCTAAATAATAGTAGTAATAATAATAATATTAATAATTAAAAAAAATATATTCCATCCCCAGCCAGGTCACCTGTGGCCTCACTCCCCATGACTTCAGTTCAGCCATTGAGGCCATCCCCTGTCTTTGTGTCCAGCCCTTGCTAATCTGCACTGATGCAGAGCTATTAGAAAAAAATCTGATCAAATATACAAAACACTGCCTCTGCCATCACCAGACACAGGAAGAGGTTCCCTCAGAATATTCCAGAAACTTTCATTGCTTTTTTTGGCTTTTGCAACACAACCAGCTCCACAGCTCCTTGCCCACCTCCAGATGGCTTTTAAAGACACTACTCATCACATGGACACCAAGGCAGGTGACCTCCCTCTGAACCGTGGTTGGTCCCTTAGGATGATGCCAGGAGTGTCCCTACCTGCTGGGACCTTTGTGATATAGGAAAATGGTAGCCCAAGGGGCTTGGCTCAAGGCCAGACAGAGTTGCCTCATACCCCAAAGTGGCTGCTGTGGATCAGTATCCTCACCACACATTCCTTCTTCTTTTTACTGGAGGTCTCACCTGTCCCACCCCTCAGCCACCCTGTACAAAAGAAGCAGCCTAAAATAATCCCAGTAGCAACTCTGGGGTTTGGAATGGGTCCCCACACAAGTGTTTCAGCAGCAGGAATGTGGACTGGACCAGTAACGGCCAGTGACAGTGGGCTAGGGAAAAGTCATGCATGCTGGGAAAAGTTGGTTCAATCCCAGCTTGCGGAAAGTGGTCATCAGGGATGCATGTTGAACGTATTGATGCTGTGAAGGGAGTTCCAGCAGAGTTTTAGAGGTGCTGTGATTTTGTGGGGGGGACCCAGGGGTGTGGCAATAGGATGGTGGCCCCACACAATGCTCCGATGGGGTACTGCCAGCCAAATAGGGACACGGGATGCACCCCAAGAGCTCCTGCATGCTCTGTAGAGGCTCATTACTGGTGACTCCCCTAGGGGGTGTGGGGGATGCCGAGAAGGGAGGGTTCCTGCCTTCATTGGAATCTGATCTCTGACCTGGAGTCTCCTCCTGTTTAGGTGCAGCTTTAGGGCTCGTGCATGGCGACCATTCTGGATCTTGTGAGCTTTCTGGTCCTCCTGAACTCAGCATTCCGTGGACAAGCACAGCTGGGTAGGTACAGGCAGGTGCTCCAACGCCAGGGTCTGGATGGGGCAGGACTGCCATACCCCCTAACGCTGGAAGGAGACAAACATCCCTCCCCCAGACCTGAAACATCTCCACCCCACCCCCTGCTCTGGTAGAGGAAGGGGTCCTTTTGTAAATCAAACTATAGGTGGATGTTTATCCTCTGGCAGAATCAAGGACCAAAAGGTGAAGACTCTATCCCCAAACCCTGAACCCAGCTGGGGTGTCAGGCCTTCTGCTTGTCCTGGGAAAAGCTTATTAAAAAGAAAAAGTCTCGGGGCGCCTGGGTGGCTCAGTCATTAGGCGTCTGCCTTCGGCTCAGGTCATGGTCCCGGGGTCCTGGGATCGAGCCCCGCATCGGGCTCTCTGCTCCACGGGAAGCCTGCTTCTCCCTCTCCCACTCCCCCTGCTTGTGTTCCCTCTCTGCCTGTCTCTCTCTGTCAAATAAATAATAAATAAAATCTTTACAAAAAGAAAAAGTCTCAGATGCCTGGGTGGCTCAGTCAGTTAAGCATCCCATTCTTAATTTTGGCTCAGGTCATGATCTCAGGGTCCTGGGCTCCTTGCTCATGAGAGAGCCTGCTTCTCCCTCTGCTGCTCCCCCTGCTTGTGCTCTCTCTCTCTCTTTCTCTCTGACAAATAAATAAATAAAATATTAAAAAGAAAAGAAAGAGAGAAAGAAAATCTTTTAAAAAATGTATTTAAAAAAAAAAAATCTCCTGCTAACCCACAAAGCCTCTCCACAAAGGTGCAAGAGAATGTAGAAGTCTTACCGCGGGTGACCCAGTAAAGAGGTTGCATAGGCAGGGAGAGAAATCCCCCCTGGTTTGGAGCCAGGCTCCTGGGGAAGGTGGGCGCCTCTTCTGGTGTGTACACGCCTCTTCTGTATTACAAACTGTTTTTCCTGTATTTAAACTTCCTGGGGAAGGTGGACGTTCACTTCTCTGATGATCACATTTCACAGATGCTCCAGATCTGGGGCCAGACATTCTGGATTTGTGACACTTACATAGTCCCTCCATGAAGGATCATGTTCTTCTTTGTACTTTTGTTGCCTTTGCTTTTGGTGTCAAGTCAAAAAAAAAAAAAAAAATCATTGCTGAGACCAATGTCAAGAAGTTACCTACCTGGCTTTTTGTTTTTTGGGTTTTTTTCTTGCCTAGGAGTTTTGTGGTTTCAGGTGGTACCTTTGAGTCTTTCATCCAGTTTGAGTCAGTTTTTTGTGAATCTGGTTAGTGGTCTGGTTTCACTCTTTTGCAAGTGGCTGTCTGCTTTTCCCAGCACCATTTGTTGGAGAGACTATTCATCCCCCATTCTATATTCTTGGCTCTGTTGTAAATTAATTGGTCCTTCCCCACCTTTTTTTTTCCCCCCTGACAGGGAGAATTAAAGTCCTCATGGTTAGTTTCTACTTGTCCTCACCTGTGGCAGGTTCCTTCCTGGCCCAGGTAATGCATCAGGTACCCCACTCCCAACCCCATCCCAAGGGGCAAAGCTCATCCCAAAGGCCTGAGAAGGAAGCCCCTCAATTTGACTGACACAGTAAGGCCCACTTTGCCTTCCCTCCCAGAAGGTTTAGAGGGTCCCAATGTCTCCACAGCCTGCCCTGTGATTTTAAATTTTTTCTGTACTTTTTTTCTGTATTACAAATTGTTTTTCCTGTACTTAAACTTTTTTCTGTATTTTAAAAAATTTTTTGTGTTTTTATTTCTCTGTATTTTAAGAATCAGTTTCTGTATTTTTCAAATTATTATTACTATAGCTAACTTGTCTGTATTTTTCAAATTATTTTCTTTTTTAAAAATATTTACCAGTTTCATTTTTTTTTAAGATTTTATTTATTTATTTGAGAGAGAGCACAGAGGGAGAGTGACAGGGAGAATCTGCTCTCCCCGCTGAGCAGAGAATCCAAGTCAGGGCTCGATCCCAGGGCCCCAAGATCATGACCTGAGCCGAAGGCAGACGCTTAACCTACTGAGCCACCCAGGCACCCCTCAAATTATTTTCTGTATTTTTCAAATTATTACTACTATAGCTAAGTAGTCTGTATTTTTCAAGTTATTATTGTTATACCTAACTTGTCTGTATTTTTCAAATTATTTTCTGTATTTCTCAAATTATTATTACTATACTTAACTTTTCTGTATTTTTCAAATTATTTTCTTTATTTTTCACATTATTATTTAGCTAACTTGTACTTTTCAAATTATTTTCTGTAGTTTTCTAATTATTGTTGCTATAGCTAACTTGTCCATATTTTCAAATTATTTTTTGTATTTTTCAAAATATTATTACTATACTTAACTTTTCTGTATTTTTCAAATTATTTTCTTTATTTTTCAAATTATTGCAATAGCTAACTTGTACTTTTCAAACTGTTTTCTGTATCTTTCAAATTATTATTACCAAAGCTAAGTTAATGGGTATGAAGTGACTCCTCGTTATGGTTTTGATGTGTATTCCCCTGATAACTAATGGATCTGAGCATTTTTTTTCATGGGCTCCTGTATGTCACTGAATTGTTCACTTTGAAATGGTTAATTTTGTGTGTGAATTCGGCCTCAGTAAACAAATGTAACAATCCACACCTGATGTTTGTAGATTGTCTCCTCTCACCTGTAACTACAACATCACCTTGGGGGTGAGGGGGTCTAATTCCTACTAAGTGTTGTTGTTGTTGTTGTTGTTGTTGTTGTTTAATTACAGCACAAGAGAATATATCTCCTATTACAAACATGCAGCTAGATCCAAGGAAAAGAATGTTAACCTGGAATTACATAAGAAATGTGAGTCAGCAAGAATGCACTTATAGCCCGCTGAACTCTTCCATCATGCCCAACTTTACCATCAGGCAAATCCCACGGGTAAGCATTCATGGCTCATGCCTTATGGCTTTACTCCTTGTAAATCTTGAATTCCTGTGAAATGACTCTTGAGTCCCCTCCCTGCTCTTGATTTCCACTCCTATTTCTCTCATCAGGGAAGAAAAAACATTTCTTCTATCCTCTTATATCTTGGGATGGGGACATGCAAATTAAAGTGACAAATGCCAGATTTTTCAGGAGGAAAGACATATAGATTTGTTCTTAGTTTAACTTTTTACATACATGAAGATGCACAGAAGAGAAGTAAACACCCAAAGAAGTGGTCAGACTAGGGAGCTTTCCTGCCATTTTTTAAAGAGGTGAGAAATTGAGGAGATTCCATGACACAGGAATGGGGATTTCAGCTTCTGGGCCCAATAAATTGTGGGGACGTGACTAGGGAATCAGTGGTTGAACTAATGGCTGATACAGGTTATTTTAGTAAGGTCTGTCTGTGAAGTATCTTCTCAGTGCTGGTGGCCCCTCTCCAGTGATAAAGGTCACTCTCCTCTTCCTGGCACAGGACAGGGTGGGGGAACCCTTCACAAAGGGTTCTGTGCCCTGCTTTTATGTAGATAAGGAGGCTGAGAACTCCTCCTGTATCTGTCCATGCTCAGGTGCCACCAGCTCAAAATGATCCTTATGCCAAAGTGGTCCATTTGGGATTGGGGCAAATTCCATATATAGGATGGCCTCCTTCACTCTGCTTCTATATGGTGGGAGTAAAACTTACACACTAAATCTCACATATGAGTGAGAATATAATAGCTGTCTTTTCTGCGCCTGCCTTCATTTTGATTTCTCCCCTCCCATGAGGGAGGAGGGGGAAAGATGTGGACTTGCCCATTAAATGGACTCCACCCCCTTCACGTTAAAACAGGCCCCCTGGATTCAGTCCATGTCTTTGGGCTATGTTTATTCACTCATCACCTAGTTCCCATACTCCCTTAGTTTCATTCTAAGGATGTCAGGAAGGAAAAACTTTGTCATCTACCCTCTTAGGTTCTGTCTCTGGAGGCCTGCAAATTAACATGACAAAAGATAGATGAACAAGAGGGAGAAAAATGTATTCCCATGCATACGGAGCTTATAAAAAAAAAGTAGCTCAATAAATAGATAAAGTTAAAGATTTATGTACCTAACCAGTAGGAAAAAGGGAGGAGAGAGTAAAGCTCACTATGGGAAGAAGAAGCAGTTTTCCAGAAGAAAACAGGAGATAAGAAATTTTGTGATAACTACTGGGTATTTACCCCAAAGATACAAAAGTAGGGATCCTAAAGGGTACGTGCACCCCGATGTTTATAGCAGCAATGTCCACAATAGCCAAACTGTGGAAAGAGCCAAGATGTCCATCGACAGATGAATGGATAAAGAAGATGTGGTATATATACAATGGAATATTATGCAGCCATCAAAAGGAATGAGATCTTGCCATTTGCAACGACGTGGATGGAACTGGAGGGTATTATGTTGAGCGAAATAAGTCAAACAGAGAAAGACACGTATCATATGACCTCACTGATATGAGGAATTCTTAATTGCAGGAAACCAACTGAGGGTTGCTGGAGTGGGGGGTGGGGTGGGAGAGATGGGGTGACTGGGTGATAGACACTGGGGAGGGTATGTGCTCTGGTAAACGCTGTGAATTGTGCAAGACTGTTGAATCTCAGATCTGTACCTCTGAAACAAATAATGCAATCTATGTTAAGAAAAAAAAAAGAAGAAGAAGGTAGCGGGAGGGGAAGAATGAAGCGGGGGAAATCGGAGGGGTAGACGAACCATGAGAGACAATGGACTCTGAAAAACAAACAGGGTTCTAGAAGGGAGGGGGGTGGGAGGATGGGTTGGCCTGGTGGTGGGTATTGAGGAGGGCACATTCTGCATGGAGCACTGGGTGTTATGCACAAACAATGAATCATGGAACACTTCATCTAAAACTAATGACGTAATGTATGGGGATTAACATAAGAATTTAAAAAAAAAAGAAATTTTGTGATAATGCTTGTTCATGCAAGTGTGAGAAGTCTTTCAGTCTTTTTCGTGACCACAAAACTCTGCCCAGAGAGGGTATTCATGGTAGGTTTACCCTTGGTGTCCTTTCTGGCACTAAAAGCGACCCCAAAGAGGGAAATTATGGCAGCCCCATTTTCCGAACTTTCTGCTCTTAGTCAGATAAGAGAAACTCCCCCCCAAAAATGTTTCTTCTGCATCTCTTGAATCCAAATGTCGTCAGCTTAAAATAATCTTCAAAGCAATTCTGGGATTCCTGGGGGTGGGTGGGCATTCCCCCCAGCAGGTGGGGGTGTGCTCTAGACACGGGGCTGCAAGGGATCCATCTCCTCTGCCCCAAACCCAGCCCCTGGGGTGCTTTCAGCCCCTGAGATTCCATCCCTCCGTGGGACAACGGTACCTTGGGAGACCCATTGGGATCTCTCCATAAAACGATTCTAGGGTGAAATGTGAATCCAAACTGCCCTGAGAAAAGCCAAAACGCAGAATGAGCAGGTGGGCAGTGCCCCCATACCCCTGCCAATGCAAACTGTGGGGAGGAGGGCTCCCGTGTATTTACAGCTCATTTTGGGAGGAATTTTTTTAAAGATTTATTATTTATTTGGGGGGGGGGAGGAGAGGCAGAGAGAGAGGGAGAGAATCCCAAGCAGATTCCGGGCTGAACGCGGAGCCTAACGCGGTCCTGTATCTCAGAACCCTGAGATCATGACCTGAGCTGAAACCAAGAGTCAGACGCTCAACCCACTGCGCCACTTGGCGCCCCTTTAGCAGGATTTTTTATATGGGTTCCTCTGGCGCCACCTCCAGGCTGAGGAGGCTCTTGCATTGTCTCCGGAAATTTAAGTCCTGAGGGAGCGGGGGACACCTTCCCAGGGTATGTCCTGCTTTTAGGCAAGTGACCTGCACTAGGGCTGTCTTCTATCTGCTCTTTGCGATTGCCTTCAGGTCAAAATAATCCTTGTGCAGAGGTGCTTATTTTGGGGGTGCTATGTTTTGCTAAGGTCACCCCTTAGGTGTGAGAGAATGTGCATGAACGGAGCAGTGTTTTATGGCCCCCGAGAGAAGGAGGCAAGAAGGAGGGGCTCATGGAGACCCAGCTGTGGGCGTCATTATGCATCTGTGCTTTTAAAAAGGAATGAAATTGAATTTTAACATAATGAAACAGATAGAAATGGGCCGCTAACCTTCTTTTATAAGTGGGTCATTTCTATGCATTGTATAGTTGTCTCTTGCTTGCTTGAATTTTCTTTTTCTTTTTTCGATTTTAAGTGTTCTGTTGGTGCACGGAAGCCATTGATTTAATGGCCTACCTGTCCAGGGTTTTTGTTTTGTTTTGTTTTGTTTTAAATAAATTCAATGTGTTTGGGGGAAGCATCTGGTTTTCCAAATGTCCTGTAATTTAGTGCTAATGTGCCTCTCCCCTCTATAATTATCTTGGCTTTCTGTTTCATCTCATTTTTCATTGTGAATTCAAGAAAACATTCCTACATTTAGTGTTTCCGTATGAATTACAATACTGGCTGTTGATGAAAAACAACAACAACAACAACAACAACAACAAAAACCCAAAAGCAAAAATCTTCTTTGTCCTGTCAAAGAGATTCATTTAGGTCCCTGCTGTTCTAAGTGTTGTTTTTCTCGAGCACAGATTTTGCAAATTCTTGAAAATGTGTTTTTGGACCTTATCACTTTGTTTCCCCCACTGCATCGACCTTATGAAAACAGACCGTGCACAATCTTGATAGAATTTTTTAAAAAATAATGTTGAATTCAGTGCATAAGCATAACATTTTGGGGTTTATATTTTTTATAGCTTTACATTTTTTTAAAGATTTTATTTTTAAGTAAATCTCCACCCAAGGTGAGGCTCAAACTCACAACCCAGCGATCAAGAGTGGCACGGTCCACAGACTGACCTAGCCAGGTGACTCACTTTTTTTTTTTTTTTAATAAAACTGGTTCTTTTAAAAAATATTGTCCGAACAGACACATGAAAAAGTGCTCAATATCGCTCGGCATCAGGGAAATCCAAATCAAAACCTCAATGAGATACCGCCTCACACCAGTCAGAATGGCTAAAATTAACAAGTCAGGAAACGACAGATGCTGGCGGGGATGCGGAGAAAGGGGAACCCTCCTACACTGTTGGTGGGAATGCAAGCTGGTGCAGCCACTCTGGAAAACAGTATGGAGGTTCCTCAAAAAGTTGAAAATAGAGCTACCATACGATCCAGCAATTGCACTCCTCGGTATTTACCCCAAAGATACAAACGTAGGGATCCGAAGGGGTGCGTGCACCCCGATGTTTATAGCAGCAATGTCCACAATAGCCAAACTGTGGAAAGAGCCAAGATGTCCATCGACAGATGAATGGATAAAGAAGAGGTGGTATATATGTACAATGGAATATTATGCAGCCATCAAAAGGAATGGGATCTTGCCATTTGCAACGACGTGGATGGAACTGGAGGGAGTTATGCTGAGCGAAATAAGTCAATCAGAGAAAGACATGTATCATATGACCTCACAGATATGAGGAATTCTTAATTGCAGGAAACCAACTGAGGGTTGCTGGAGTGGGCGGTGGGGTGGGAGGGATGGGGTGACTGGGTGATAGACACTGGGGAGGGTATGTGCTCTGGTAAGTGCTGTGAATTGTGCAAGACTGTTGAATCTCAGATCTGTACCTCTGAAACAAATAATGCAATCTATGTTAAGAAAAAAAAAAGAAGAAGAAGGTAGCGGGAGGGGAAGAATGAAGCGGGGGAAATCGGAGGGGTAGACGAACCATGAGAGACGATGGACTCTGAAAAACAAACAGGGTTCTAGAAGGGAGGGGGGTGGGAGGATGGGTTGGCCTGGTGGTGGGTATTGAGGAGGGCACGTTCTGCATGAAGCACTGGGTGTTGTGCACAAACAATGAATCATGGAACACTTCATCTAAAACTAATGACGTAATGTATGGGGATTAACATAAGAATAAAAAAATTAAAAAATATATATATTGTCCGAGAGGTGCCTGGGTGGCTCACTCAGTTAAGCGTCTGCCTTCAGCTCAGGTCATGATATTAGGGTCCTGGGGTCGAGTCCCGCACCGGGCTCCCTGCTCAGTCTGCTTCTCCCCCTGCATCTGCCCCTCCTCCTGTCTCTCTCTCTCTCAAATAAATAAATAAAATCTTAAAAAAATACAATAAAATATCCTCTGAATGGTCTTAGATCTGAGCTCTGCCGGGGACATAAAATCGAGTCTCTGTATGTTCTTAAAGGCCGTCATTTTTGCCAATGTGCGTATTCTGAGTTACTAATCTCTGGTTCATTTCTTTCCGCCTGCTCTGAGCAGATTTGGCTTGAGGGTTTTCTCCTGCAGGAAATGGGGGGAGGAAAATGCCAGCTCTTTTGCAGAGAGAGGTGCTAATGTTTTAAATTAACCAAGTGGTGAGTGGCGGCGAGCTCCTTCCTGCTGGTTAGAAAGTGAAGGTGCTGGGCGGCCTCCTGGGGCCACTTTTATCTTAAACAGCCTGCATTGTGCTTCTAATCCCCTCCTGTACCAAGACTTCCTTTGGGAAAACATAATTCTGTTTTTTAAATAGTCAGACTTCTTCTTCTTCTTCTTTTTTTTTTTAGTTGGAGTTGACTGGGTTTGTTTTTTTGTTTTGTTTTGTTTTTTTGCAGACTCAGAAAATGGGGCTGCAGAATTTCTCACTGGAATTTTGGGTTTTCCATGAGGCTGCACAAAGATGCTTGCAGGGAAGACGGGATAGGCGCGGGTTGATTCAATCCCTGAAGGCATCCTTCTTGCAGCCTGAGGACCTTCCCGGAGCCCCGGGGTCCTGCCTCTGGCTTTCGGCACGAGATTTGGTACAGACACAACAGATGTCGATGATGCTCTGATTTCATTTTCCTACGTTTTGAATTTGAGGAATTCTGAGTGTATATAATGACCCTCCTGGACGGACTCTACCTGACCAGCCACATGGGCAGTAAGTCTACGCTGGCCGCCCTACGCCCATGGAATCTGGGATTTCACAAACAGGATGCTGATGTGCTGACTTTTTTTTTTTCCTCGTGGTCTGTTTTTCCTTCCGAGCCTTTTTTAAATCTCGTGCCCTCCGTGGGTCACCATGTTTGTGCTCAGTATTTAGCACGTGACACCATGTTGGGCTCCTCGCCGTCACTCCTCTGCCAGGGTTGCTTTGCCCATTTTTTCCAGTTCCTCATTTTGTCCCCGTCCACGTAGCAGTGCTCGGGGAAGATGCCGCCGTAGGGGGAGAAAGGATTAAAAGTAAATACTGCCAGGCGGCCATGAAAGGGGACCAGCTCAGACACTTGGTACAATGTGTATGAACTTTGCAATTGTGTCTGCTTCTCAGACGCGAAAGGCTACATTGTGCATCAGTCCACTTACATGAAACGGCAAGAAGAGACAAATCCTGTTAAAAGAAAGTGGGTTAGTGTTTGCCAGAGATGGGAGGGACCTCGCCTTTTCTGCCAGACACAACCCGTGATGCACCTGTTCTCTGTCCTGACCCAAAGGAAACATCA